AAAGACTTGCATATGCCCAGTTGGCTCAAATGTTCCCTAACCTAATTCTTCTTCACCAAAAGTACACCTTTTATATTCTAAACTTTCCATCTTGCCTCAGGGGCCTGGAATAATTGAAAGTCAGTTTTACAAGTAAAAACAAAAGTGAAAAAGGATCTGATCTCCTTGGCTTTGCCATGTCCTTTGTCACTAGGTCTCATCCTTAATCTGAAGAGCTCTAGAGAGCATGGAGAGCATTAGATATGTGCAGTAGTATTAAGGAATTGGTTGTGCATTGATGTGGAATCTGAGTAACCCTTTTATGCCCATATGGAATCTCTTTCAATAATTTCTCCATTGTGTTGGTGATGCCCTGGCTCTGGGGGAGGTGAATTATGAATGCTACTCATCCCTATTTCCTCCTGCTCCTTGTTCTTCCCTTTACTCCACTCATCCTCAAAATGTTTTCCACAGTTTGCTGCCTACAAAATAGCTAAGAGGAAAATTCTTCTGAGTAACCTGTGGACATAGCTATTTGTATGAGATTTCAGCTGCTTTGAAGGATTGTTTCCCTTTATTAAGGTGTAAAACAGCTCTTGTGGGAAAACTAGAATTTTGCACATGTAATTAGGAAGGTATGATACTTTATTTTTGGAGATGCAGAGCCAAGAGCTGGGAGATTTTCTCACTTACTGAAACAAATAGCTTTTGAACATCTGAAATTGCTCCTGAATATATTTTGATTACAGTGTGAGCATGGCAATAAAAGAGTCCCTTGAGAGAGAAAATATCTGGATTCAAATATTAATATTATTTGGCTGGGAACTGGTTATCTCTCAAGACAGAGCTGTTAGGTTTCTCATTGATAAACATTTCTATTGGCTCGAGGAAACTGCAAACTGGGTGCTGAGCCCTGTTTTAGGCAGAAACAATAGTTGTTCCCACACTGGTCAGTGACAAACTCCCTTTTCGCCTCCAAGATGATTTTGGATTTTGATCCCAGAACTTTTGCGTTTTTCCATGCTATTGACTCCTGCTCCTAGCTCTGCAGGCATCCCTGGCATACACTGTGATTCCAGATCCTGGCACTGCCCATCAGTTGAGACATCCCTAAGACCAGTATCAGATCTGCTAACAGAGGGACAGGAACTGTTTAATTGCACTGGCTCATGGAGTTCAAGAGGAGGTGTGTCTACAAACAGAACTCTTTTCTTCCTCTTTTTAATGGGGTTTTGAAACTTTGTTCTGCTTTTCTGGATAGAAACAGAAGACCTTCTCTTAATTTTGTGCCTTGTGAAAAATGACTGTTTGTGGATATAGTCAATACTTGCTATACCCTTGCTAATTCTGCCAGTTGCATCACAAGTGTTTTGGAACTGCATTTTTTGTTGATGCTCAAGCCCCCATGTTTAGAGCCAAGATTTTTAATATTTTATGAAAAAATAAACACACTGTTACTGACAAAAAGCTGTAAATGGGAAGACAGATGCCCTTGAAGTCTCAGTAATGTCCCCCAAACTGCACACTTTCTATTTTTTACTTCCATTTTAGAACAATCTGATGATTTTTGAGTCTTTGGCACTGACAAGGCTGGAATTACATTAGTCTTTTAAAGCTTTGGGGACTTTATGAATGTTCTCAAACTGCAAAAGAGTTCCCCCATCCATAATGTGGCTGTAGTTCATAAAAGAAAAAAAAAAATCCTTTTACATTAATGAGGCAGTTAAATATAAAAAATAAAGCCCCACTATGAGAAAATCTCTAAAAATTATATAGCTGTTTTTTAATGCTACTAGTCACTCAGCCACTGTTTATGGAAATTCAAAAAAAAAAAAAAAAAAGAGAAAGGGTTTGAACTCTAATTCAGTTCAACAGTTTCTCTATTCACAAAAATGAATGGTTTATCCAATATAATGCTCATCTTCCTCATCCATCAGAGACAAATCTACCTTCTGCTTCTTGAACATTTTTGGGAAATATTAAGCCAAGATAATGTAAAAATTAGAGAACACAGTAGTGCCATCACTTTCCAGAGTCTAATACAAAGCATATTTTCTGATACAGTCATCAATTAAATGGCTTCAGCTTGTCTGCAAACTTACAGCACTCTGGCTCTCAGGATCACTTGTTTACCTATACCCATCTCTGTATGTAGCACAGTGAAGCTTATAAAGTTAATCCAGGTTACTAACAGACATAAAGTCAAGCACACAGGAAAACTATGAAAAGGTTAGGGCAGAGTTCAGAGCCAACTGAAATGATTTTGCCTTTGAGAAACAAGGCAGGCATGTCTAATAGTAAAAACAGGATAGCCTAGCAAAATGAAATATGCATTGGTATGTGTATGCAGTCTCATGCTAATAATTAGTCTTGCAAAGGGTAAGCACTGTTCAAAGTACTTTGAAAAAATTACTAACAACCTCAGAATAGAGGCTGCTGTCAAACAGAATAGAACTAACTGTGATTGAGGTCTGTAGCAGTAATTGATACAAACATTGACATTAATGCTGAGATACTTACATGGAAGAATTCAGCACCTCGTAAACCTCTTTCCATGCAAAAACTGACCTTTTAAGCTAATGACAGAATTGCTTGTCTCATGCATAGGAACTCAGCATGGCGAGTACTGCTTTCTACCCAACTGCTCAAACGAACCCCTTTTAATCCTTCTGTATGTCTTTTTTTAGGACAGTTGTAGCTCATGATAATGATAAAACAATAACAAAAGGGAATACCATTACATCTTTAATCAATAAAATGTCCTTTCTTGAGTCTCGTCTGAATAGTTTGTGCTAGGAGTTGGCAGAGAGAACTGCAAATCAGTATAATAAAATGATGTTTACCGGTTCCTTTGTACAAAATGAAGCAATAAAGAGCTTTTCTGTTAACTTTATGTTTTTATTGATAGATGCCATACTCAAGACCACACACATTACCATTATATATGAGAAAAAGCATAGCTGTTTCAACAGACAAAAGTTAAAGTGCAGTTGATTCATTGGCTCCTTTAAGAGGACTGGCATCTGGACCACATGCACTTCAAAGTCAAATGCTGTACTGAGATGTGCTGCTTTGAAGTACAGCTGCTGATCCAGACAAATTTTGGAGCCTACACCAGCATATGAATCTGCTGTACTCTGAAAAAAATCTATTTCAGATGCCAGTTTTAACTCAGTTTAGAAAATTGCTGTCTGGATCGGCTGAACTTCAAAGCCGAACATCGCAGTGCTGCATTTCCCTTTGAAGTACAGCTAATCCAGATAGTGGATTTTCTCTCCCTCCTTTTTTTTTTTTTTTTAAGTAGTTAAAATTGGCATCTGACCTTACTAGTATTTCTCCTTACCATCTGCACATTCTTTTCCCTTCTCCCTTATTTCCTCATCTTTTGACCTCTGAAAAATACGGCAAGACTCACTATCATGTTAGCCCCTGCACTACCAAAGCAACTATAAAGGGGGCTGTTGTGGGGACAGCCTGTATCAAGTTTCATAATGGACAGTGGCCAAATACTGCACATGGATTGTCATAAAGTTTGTTAAATAATACTTAATTTTACCACCCAATAAAAATAAAGCTCAAAGCAAATCCCTTGTAAATGTTCGCATTCAAAGCACTCATAACGACATTCTCACGGTTCCGCTAACTCATATTAACGGCCATTAGCACTGGTTTAAAAAGTAGCTGAGCTTGATAGCATTTCAACTTCCAGAAATTTTCAGTAATTTCGCCACAGAAAGGTCTCCTTCACAGGCAATTCAGGAAAGCCTTAAGGAAATGGTTTTAGGAGAGAAAGAATGAGATAACTACAGGCAGAATTTGCACAGCTTCTGGCAAGGGGAGCCAAGGGTAAAGGCAGCGCCCTCACCAGGACACACTCCCTTATCGCGTACACAGCAGGGATGCTGCTGTTTGCTACTGAATTAAAAGACAAATCATAAAGAAGTGTTGCACCCTGTTCAAAAGACAAAAAAAAAAAGGGAAAAAAAACCCCACCCAAATACATGTTCGTACAAGAGGACAATTTAATGACAGCATCTCTCGTTTGCTGAGAAATAATTCTGGAGAGAAAATGGACTGGATGATGACCAGCATTTTTTTTACACAGATCAGGAGACATGTCACTCAGGTGATCTGTTCTTGTCAGGCAGTCTTTAATTAGAAAATTCCTAGAGGGAACTCATGCTCCCACTAGGTGCTTATTAAAAACTAAAGACAAAAGGAGTTGGTAGAAAAGCCCAAGGAATGGACAGAGAACTCAGGTTACACTGAAAGGCAAGAGTCAGCTGCTGCTAGCACAGGGAGAGACACTCAGGATGGCATGCTGGATTTTGAATGAAAAACTCTCAGTGCTGTTATTAGTGAGTATTTTTAGCATTAAAAAACCTAATTGGATATATATAAATATTTTAAGCTTGTTTAAAAGACATTTTATGGTTTGCTTACAGTAATACTCCCAAGCTTAATGTAAAACTTGCTATAAAATATTCAGCAGCCTTTTTATAACTAGTCTTAAAAACAATTTAGAGTCTTAGTGTTTTTAATTATTTTTAAGTCAATGTACTTTAGTCGTCAGATAAAGGGAGCTGGGGTTTGCAATTCTAATTGAAATTATATTCTGATTTATTTTCAAACAATTTGGTGAACTGTGTATGGGGAGCAGAGAAAGGAAATTCCTTAGCTCTTAATTCCCTCTGTTTCTGTGATTTTTTAATTTTAGCATTCATTTCCTTTTTAGAGACCAGGTTAAGACCCGTGCTTAAAAGTGAGTTTACCATGACACAGTAAACATCATTTATATCCTTTACTGGGGATCTGGAGATAGGACTGTAAAACTGAATTTGCCAAAATATAGCCTCATTCCAGCAGGCATTTTTGATTTCTATCATCTGTGATCAAGAAGTGCATTGCACACTGATTTTGGAACATCTCTCAGATTCTCTTAAAACTATAACCATAACCAGTTTTATATACATTTAAAAATATTGTCAATATCACTAATTCATAGCCTCTCTGCTTTGTAGCTGGTTTGGCTGGGACTGAACTTCTATTTGTTTATTGATACCTTCCACTGGTATGAAGATGACAATGCTTACATTTATACACGGATTATGCTGGGAGTAAGTATGAGTTTGATTGTTAAAGGGCTTCACAAGAAAAATGTATTTGTAGTCTGATTTTATTTACATCCTTTATAAAACTTTTGATGCTTCAACAGTAATTTTCCCATATAAGAGTATTATATTAATATAGTATTTTCTTCCTTTTGCTCTTCCTATACCAAGCTTGTAATTTAATTTCTTTATGCTGTTCTATGTACAGTCAACCCTGGCTTGGGCAAGAGCTTCTGCATCGTGCCTTAATTTTAACTGTATGCTAATCCTGTTACCAGTCTGTAGAAACCTTATTTCATTCTTAAGAGGAGCAAGCATTGTAAGTACCATTTCTCAAATAGCCATATTATCCTCTCTTTTTTATTTCTGTAGTTCAGCAGTATTATCCATATCAAACATTTTCCAAGGAATTTTAATTTTTGATAGAGAAGCCTGTACACTATTGCCTAGTTATTACCATTTAAATTGTCAGTATTCATGACTGAAGAGAAACAAATGACTTGTTTAACACAGTGCTCTAAATGCAACACTGATTTTGGCAGCTGCTGCATAGCATGGTGTCATGAAGAGAAAAGTGAGAAGCTACAAAAAAAGGACATAATAATGCCATTTGGCCAAATGGAGAAAATTCATATCCATCATGTGTATTCTCTGTAGCTGCAAAGTGAAAATTGGAGAAATAAAATGTTCAGATAGATAAAAATGTTCTAAGGATAGTTATGAACATGTTTAAACACTTCTGTCTGAGTGGCTGCTATACAGGTCCTCATTTGTGGTAAATGCATTTTTGTAACAGAGGCGTTCACATTAACCTTGGGATCAGCACAGGAAGTACTTAAGGCTTTAGCTCTATTAGCTATAACTTCAACTTGCACTGAATTATTGTAGTCAGAGCAATACCAATGCCACATCTTTGGGTGAAAAAAAAATCACTGATCACTTCATGACTCCAGGAAAAACAGGAATTTAAAAATGGTAAGATACAGTTACTTTATAATAAGCTGGTTCTTATTTCAGTTCCACCATTTTTCTTTCCGTGATTGTTAGGCCCAGATGTTAAGCATTATTTAGGCTGGGAATCAACTTATGTAACTGTTTGAGTTCAGGAGCTGAACATTTACAAAAAAAAAATAGAAAATGTGTCCTGGCCTTCTGAATCACTTTGTAAATTAGCACAGAATATATGCATGCCCACTTAGATGTTAAGAACTCAGAGAACTGGAGCTCTTCTCACAGATAATATTTTGTTCTTCTGGATAATATTCTGCTCTCGAGGAGCTCGCTACAGAGCAACAAGACTGCTCCAGCATGGCCAGCACCAGGCTGGATCCAGTGCCTCTCCAAGGAGGTGCTGTGTATTGACATCGCACCCCGTGGTTCTCCACATTTTTGGAAGACTTATTAGCTGGCAAACAACATGGATACACGCCAGGATCTTTGGCATGATGCCATGCCAGGTCGTGTGAGCAATCCAGACACCCACACCACCACTCAGAGGCTGAATCCTGTCGGTGAGTGCTGTCTGGGTCACAGCAGAGCGTGTTAGTTTTGGCTCAGTGCAGCCAGCCCCCGGGCCCAGGCTGGCTCTGCGCAGGGGCACCCAGCTGGCTGCGAGCACACCACTGCCAAGCCCTTCCAATAATGGCAGCACGGCTCAGTAACACATCAGCATGCAGCCACCTGAGGTCTAGACAGCCTCACCCTCCTGGGGTGTGCATTTCCTGAAAGCAGAGAAAATGTTTTCATTGCACGCTGGCTTTGCCAGCGCTTCAGCTCTGCTGTGCTAAGCTCACAAAGCAGTGGTGGCCCAGCCTGGTGTCCCTATACCAGCAAATGAGTTAATGTCAGCTCAGATAAACCACTCACAAATCACAGTTAAGTGTAGCAGAGCTTTATCAAACCCTTTTTTGAGCCCCTGTATAGGATGAATAGCTTCAGAAGCCCTGGAGTGCCACTCAGGAAAGTTACCTGAGTCCTAAAACTAACGCAAAACTTCCACTGAATTCCTTCAGCGTTCCATTTTCAAATGTACTGAACTCTTCTCCAAAATGTGAGTTGTAAACACCAATAGGAATGATATAAAACAAGTTCTGCTTTTTCACCAAGTGCTGTGGAGGAGCACTGAGGAGACAGCTTGACAAAAACATCACATTTCACAAGATGGTTGCCTATGGAATAGCGTTAAATGCAAGTAAGCTTTTTTGGTTTTATTTTCTTCTTCTTTGCCTTGGAACTGTTCTGAATTTCACAGTGATTCTGCCTAATGCTGTAATCCCCATCAGCTCTGAGATGTGATATTTTAGTGCAATCATTTGTTGACTGCAGCTTTAAATGTGTGTAGGAGTCCCATCTGATTAACCATTTGTAATCTTTTTTGCTTGAGAAGAGTTTGACTGTTAAGGAAATAAACTTTCAATCTGAATAGTAAACACCAGTTGTCACTTAGTTAATCTGACCAGCTTGTGTGCTCTTAAAATTTAGTGCAAATAACTTTCATTGAAACCCTGGGGATGTCTGGGGAGATGACGTAGCATTTCTGTCTGATTCTGTAAGGAAATGATGCTTATGAGTCACATCACACATCTGCCCACCAATACATCTTCACTAATTTTTCAACCAGGTAATAAGTTTAATCTGAATTTGAGAGAGCCAGGTGTCTCAAAAACAATGGATTTCTAGATATTTATTTGGAGTAGGTGGCTGATCCAGAAACTAACAGCCCCCTTGAAGGAAAAACAGCAACTTGAGATAAAAATTTATCTATTCTGTTGGTCCTAGTGACTTATGGAGCTGTTTGTTCATGTGGCTGGGAAAAAGACATGGCACCTTCCTGTTTTCTAAGTTCTTTTACTACTCTAAGTAGTAAAAGGACCTGGACAAGACTGAAGTTTGTAGGAATTCAGAGGACCCAAGGGGAACAGGAGATAGCTTGAGGAAAATGGGATGTACAGAGAGGAATGAACAAAATCCGATGTGAAGAAGGACCTGAGCACACAGAGATGGAGAGGTATCTGAGATTAGATAGATAGATAGATAGATAGATAGATAGATAGATAGATAGATAGATAGACAGATAGATAGATAGACAGACAGATGGATAGTTCTCTTAGAAAATGGGAAGGAGACAGAGGAATTAATCAGGGCTATTTGCAAGCATGAGACATTGCAGGGTAACTGTTCTACCCCCAGGCTGTCAGAGCAGATTCTGGTCCCAGTATCTTTTCCAGCCTGCGTGAGGGAGCTGCTTTTGCGTGTACAGGCTGTTAATGTCCTCATGCAGCGAGACAAGAATGCAAAGCCAGGATTGCCTACAGGAACCAATAGCTAAAGTTTGTCTCCTGTATGTCATGCTAAAGAATTCAGAGGGGAGGGCTACAGGATGCAAACATTCATTTTACAGTGTATTATGATGAATTACTTATCTGTCATGTCCACTCATTCATCAGAGTTCAGTTTTGCCACAGAACAGGTTCCTACAGAGTGCAACATTGCTTCTTTAATTAATAAATCAACCCAGGAATATAAATTAACCAACTTAACTTGGTGTATAATAAGTCATGTTCCAAAAAGAAACCAAAACTGTACAGTCAAATCTTTTGTGGTTTTGGTTTTTACATTAATATCAAAATGTTTGCTAGTGCATTAATGTGGACAGTCTGTGAAGTGCAAGTCTCTCAGAAGAGTGATTACCTTAATGGTTTCATGAATTTCAAGGAAACGGACACACAAACCAATGTGAAATGACAGAAAGTATGATCATATAATTCTTATTTAAATCACTCTCTAGGGAGAAATCAGGGGTTCATTTTTGGGTTGTTATTTAGGTTGGTTGATTTTGTTTTCTAAAATATAAAATGGAAAAATAGTTGATATTTGAGAAAGAAAACACAACACCGGGAAGTCTAATAAACAAAGCGTGACAACCTATGCATTCCTGCTTCCTTAACAGTCAAGTGAGAAACATTTATCATATTTGGAAAAACACTACATCACTGTATAGTCAGACTTGCGTAAAGAATGGCCAGAAACTCAATTGCCTGAAATTCAATTTAAAGTTCATAGAAAAATAAAATCTACAGAACACATTGTGACAGAAAAGCAACATTTCAGAGTGATAGCCACAAGTACACTGAATCCTTTTTAATAAAATCTAACAGTGCTAAAATGATGTGTAAATAGATGCCATTTTCCTCTCAACTGACACATTATTTATCCTAGTACTACCTATAATGCCTTTTATTACACAAAACCACAGTCAACTCCTGTTAGTCTATTGCAATTTAGTAATTGTTAGTTAAATGGATGCTCACCCTTGTATGATCAATAGACTAAATCTGGCAGCAAGAAATTAAACCAATTTGAAGATCAAATCAGTAAGCTTAGCCTCACAATATAAAATTGCAAACTCCTTTATTATTAAAGTAACATGTATTCATCTTAGCTTGCCAGGTGGTGTTATTCCAGCATATTTATTTAATAGTGTGCTAAAAATAGTCAGTGGAACATTAGTATTGTCTGGCTTCTAACAGGCAGAGAGCTCAGCTGAGGTGTGCCTGGCCTTGGAAAAAGTACATCTGTACCTTTAATTTTTCATCAGCTCTAATACAAATTCAAAAGCAAGCTTTAATTGGTCAGGTCATAAAGGGATATAATTAGAGACTAGTGGAAGAGGGAAGTTGGAGGAAAGAGAGAGAGTAAACAATGCTATCTATAATCAAGGGCATCATTGAAAATTCAGTAAAGGGAATTCTGCTTAGTTTGGCTTCCTGCGTTCTGCATGCCTGTCTGTGATAAGAGCTGTCTGGGAGTTATTCAGCCACTAATAAATCTTCCTTATAGACCCGTAACTCTGCTAGAATAAAATCAGAGTTTCATGCACTCTCAGTTTGATCAGTGCAAATAATTCTTGGCTTTGTAATGGAAAAGAGACTATTTAGTTGAGACACAGCGGTCTGAAACATAAAGACACTACAAGAGATAGCAATAATATTTTCTACAAAACCTACTTCTTACTTTACTGGTTTTACCCACTCAAGAAAGCACATTCATACATTTTCTGAAGTGGGGAGTGTTGGAGGGATATTTTTTTTTTTTACTTTAATATGCTTGGCTTATCTTAAAGATGAAACTACTTGAATTGTTTTGGTGTTTGCAGAAAGGTCATGTGGATATTTTGCTCCATCAATCTTTGAATTATGATATTAATAAAGTTTAAGCAATTAAGGGAAACTAGGGAAAGAACAGCAAGGTTGTTTGGAGTTAGGCTGCTTGAAATGGTGATTCCTGCTCCTTAAAAATCCCAGCAAAATGTTCTTCTTTAAAAACATGCAAAGTGCAGAAGGAAGTATGGTGATGCCAGGTGTACTTGGCTTCTGACAAGCACTGAAAAATCTATGGCTAAAAATACTAGGAAACCTTTCCATTTTCAATCACTTTTTGGTAAACTATGTGAGTGGCTTTGGTGACCTGAGTCACAATTTTGTGTAAGCGATTAAATTTTCAGGGAAGCAGTTTTCTACTTCCAAAAATCACAGAAAATCATACTTCCATTAAACATTTTGTTTTCTTTTTTTCAGTCAGATTGTTTAAATCCAGACTTAGAGCAAGTACTAGGAAGGAAACAATTTTAAATTGAAGATATGTATCATGATGTTGAATTAGGGGTTCTGAATAACTAGGAATGGCACAAGACAGTGGGTGGAAAAAAGAATCCCAGCCTTGGTCAGGGGCAGAATTCTCCATGGCTGGGTTATCTGCCTGCAAAGTTGTTCTATTTGTTGTGGGCTGAAAGGCCAGGATTTGACCCTTTGGCTTTATCATTATTGGCTGGTTAATCAAAATGTTTAACTGCTAGCAGCAAGCTCCAATTTGATTATTATCCTGTACAGGCATGCAGAAAAAGTGAAATCTTGTCCTCAGATAAACACATGAAATTTCTGTTTAGTTCAATGAGAGCTGTGTATGCTTCACTGAAGGCACAATTGGCTGAATAAGAGTAGCTAAATTGACCATACTTTCAAGATAATTTAATTATATCTCTTTGTATTTAAGGATATGTACAGTAAACACCATGATCTAATAGCAATCCTTTTCCTCCCTCTCTCCTCCCAATAAAGCCTTTTATTTGATCTCAGAGGTGGACTAGATAGAACATCTTAGGGTCAAATACAAATTAATGTATGTTAAGTGCTTCAGAGGTTCCAGATGTCATTAAAAACAACAAAAATCCTTCAGTCTTCATGAACTGTTATAAAAAGAACTTTGTTTAAGGTTGGGTGATTTATTCCATATGTTATTTCTGCACATGCAGAATGAGGAAAAAACTGAACCAAAAAATCTGAGACATAGTTCCTTAAACTTTGCCCTTGTGATTAACTCAGATAAGTGGTGCAGAGGAAAGAACTACCAACTGTGGTAAGCTGAGATTTCAGAAATCTGCAGATTAATTTTGGAACTGCTTAGTAAATTCTATGCACTGTAGATGCAAAGGCCTTCAGAAAATGCAGTTTAGGGCTGTAAAATATTTTAGTTAATGGCAATGTGTTCAGCCAGACCTTTTATTCTGCTACAACTATTATACATTAAATGAACCACACTGAAAATGGAATTAGGTCTCAGAAGTATTAATCTAATAACACTCCAGGCAATAGAGAAGATCATGGGAGACTCAGGTAAACCAACATATTCAGTACAACGTTAGTTTGAATGTAATGTTTTTCAACGTATCATTACGCTCTGTAAATTAACAACTACCACAGCATAGCTAGCAGAAAAGAAAAATAACAGCTACCCTCCTGTTCATTCTGGAAGTCTTCTACACTTGTAATATCCTCTACCTGTCAGATGACAGCTGGAGAGAATGTCACCCAGAAGGGAAGGTGTGGTAGATCTCAAAGAAGAAGGTATGATGAGGTTTCCATTGACAGAAACGCAGGGGAGCAGAGCAATGTGCAAATGGAAAAGTCAGTGTCCCCTGATAGCCTGCAGAAAAGTCTTACTAGGCTAGGTTGTCAGAAGTGGAGCTCTTCTTCCAGGGGAAAGTTGCAATATGAGTACTCCTCATCAACTATAGTCTCAAGACCTTCTTGGAAAACTGTATCCATGCAACCCATTTTTTTTCTGTCCAAGACTAGAAATACTCTGTTAGGGAAGGTGGACCTCTGTCTGTTGGAGAAAATTAGCACCTTATTTAACTCTCAACACTCAGCATTTACCAGATAGCATTATATATCCTGTCACTGCTGCTATGACTAGAACTTGTACAAATCATTTAGAATCCTGCACTTTAGGGAAAGCATAAGATTTTGTAGGTTTCTAAACAGCAGAAATGTCTTCATTTTGTGTGAATATTTTATAGTCTGCAGTACCACTTTAAACAAATCTATTGTTTTGAAGGTGAAAGGGAGAAAGTGTTTTTTGCTATGAACACAGATTCAAACCTCCACAATTAGCCAATGTCACAATTCTAAATGAGCAAAGATATCCAAAACCTGCAGCTGACAGACTGCAAGCAAGCTCTGGTAAAACAGCACTATGGATCCTAACTGAGTGAAACTCTCTTGGTCCCTAGGCTATGGGGACTATCATGCCAGAGTTATAAAATGCATCCTGCGGGTATAGAGGGCAAGAGGCCCACATCACAGTAATCACTAGTAGGTGCCAAAATAAAACTGCTTACTAGAAGTCCACTTAGAGACTCATTGTCAGGGTTTTCCATCCTTTGAAAGTTTTCTTTCCTCTTTCCTCCTTCCCTTAGCCCATAGCAGGCAATGTGCAGCATGTAACTCCACGACTTACTGAAGATGGCAATCTGTTACCCCACACTCCTGCGCTACGACCGAGCTCTTTCAGATGTCAAAAAAATCAGGTCCTCATCGAGCAGTGACTTGGTTCCATTCCAGCTGGATCAGATGACATCCTTACCAGACCAACACATCTGCTCTGAAAGAAGCCCCTTGTAGGAACATTTCCCCCCTTCCCACTCAGCACTTAAATGTGCTGTTACACTTAAATACATAAACAGTGTTTATATACTGCTTATACATCAGTTGTGCACTGGGGAACAGATTGCCACAGCCCCCACACAGCTGCCACCTAAACCATGCAGCTCAGAGCTTCTTGGGCTCTTGGGTTTTGACAGTCTAAATCCACACATCTCATTCACTGCTTGTGGTCCGGTGTCACCTCACTTCCAGTGTCCCAGCACTGCCAGGCTGCTGGGAGCACACTGCCATGCACAGGCTCCAGGAAGCATCTCTCACCTGATGCTGGCAAAGTTGTTTCTCATGCAGCACCTAATCCACAACAACACGTGCAGGACATGCAAGGCCACTGTACCATCAGTACCTTCTGATGCTCACAATCATGTCATGCACACCGTTTCACAAAATGACCAACCTTCAGCTGAAAGCTGCTTAGATTGCTTGATCCCATTACCCCATTTATAGAAAGGTTATTTTAGAGTCTCATTCCTTTGATGGCTTGAATCTGTCTTCTAATTTCCAGGCTCATTTTATCTCTCTGCAGTTCATACCCATTTGGATTCAGTCTCCATCCTGCTGAAGCTATTCCAGCTTGTATAAATAATTTATTATTTGCTGGGCCAAAGATTCAGGAGAAATGGGAGATTGATTTTGCATTTTGGGTGCTCAGGATATTCACTTGGGATGCCTATGTCAATAAATATTGGATTATTTTTATTAAGGGCTTCATCAGGAGACAGCTCAAAAGAGAATAACCAGTCAACCCAGTGACTAGGACATGTGATTTGGTTTAAAGCCTTACTTTAAATTTAGTGTAAAAAGGATTTTAAAATATATCTTTCATCTCCCAGTGAATTTCTAAGCATGAGGCAATGAGGTGAAGCAGGTGTCAAGGAGTGGCGGGGGGAGTCCCTAAGTTAACATTACATTTTGAGTGAACAATCAACCAACCACAGCACATCTACTGCTCTAGAAGGATCACCTCAGAAGTACAGAGTGAAAATAGCCTCACTCCAGCTTGGACACAAGGGATAACTTGCTGTTGGGGGGAATGTTTCACCTTCTTGCACTGCCTGCTTTAACTGGGTCCCTGGCCAGCATCCTACTTTAACTCTTGTTCTCATGGACACAGCTGTCCCCAGGAGCTGAAGAGGAGCTGGACTTTTTATCATGTGGAGTGAGGGAGCCCACTAAGGGGGTAGGCACATAAGAGACCAGCAATACCAAGGTCCTTATGCATTTAATCCTGTGTTTACATCTATGATTAAACAGTGACTTGTATAGTAAGACACTACTTTCATCCACATAGTCACAACTAAAAAAAAAGGGGAGAAAAAGGCAATAAAGGAGGAGAGGGAGAGGGAGAGGGAGAGGGAGAGGGAGAGGGAGAGTTAAAAAAAAACTTCTTTTGAGAATATTGTTCTGGGAAGAAGATCATATTTGGTTTACGACAAACAATGCCTTTAAAAAGGTTTTTTAAATGGTCAGGGACAGAAACAGATAACCACTGAAGGAGAGATGCTAACAGGAAGCTAATTATAAAAACTAGAAATAACTGTGCTGTAAACATATAATTATCTTTCATTGTCATTTTTGCATCCTTTGGCATTTAATATCTTGCATTAATTACAAGTTCCATGTAATGGATTTTAGAACCTCTCATATTGAAAAATGAAACTGTGCACCTAGCTTGATTACATCTTTATCTATGTTAGCCAATAATAAAACAAAGTCCTTCCTTTTCCACTCTTGAAATTATACTCTTTCCCCAAAGAAAATAATTACAGGGGAGTTTTTACTTCAATCTAAGGCACTTTTCTAAACTGACCAGTTCATATACCTTTTGGGAGCAGGCCAGAAGTAGAGGTGATATATGATACTCAGGACAAATCAGATCTTACCCTGCAATTTGCTCTTCTCCCCTTAAATCATAGTTCCTGTGGCTTCCTCAGGCTCCACCTGCATAAAGTATTGCTACAGACACTTGTTATTTGGAGACAGATTTTGAAAGCATCTCTAGTGCAAGTTGCAAACTGTTGCATGCCTAAATCAGTCAACTCAGTGTCCTGTGTAGCAAGGGCATGGTACATCCTAGTATATTAATTAAAAATGTGAATTTTAATCAGTTTACCTAATTTTGAACAATTTAAAGTCAGAGGTGTAAACTTCTATATCAGTTCTCAAGAGGTCCTCCTTTAATGACGTTGGAGACTGCAGGGCACTTGACTGTAAACCTGGGAGGTGACCCTGAAGCTGTTCCTATCCTCTCCACTGTGAAGCAGTCTCTTCATATTAGACATGCAGTTGATAAAATTCTCTTTTTACCATCATCTTAATCCACGCAAAACTCTCAATTTATGCCCGAGCTTTTCAAATAGTTCACAGTGTGCATAATGAAGTTCCTTCTGGCACTGTGGGCACATACAAGAGTGCCTGTAATTTCACACCACTCTTTCTCTCCTGCAGCCATCCATATTGTTGCCCACTCCATCAACATTGAGCGGTATCATTCCAGCCAGTCAAAAGAAGCTGGGGAGCTACGAAATAAACTTTCTGGTCTTGGCAAGAGCCCAAATGAAAGCTACTTGAACCCGATCAGGACCTATGAAACAGTAAGGTGTCACTTTTTAGGTTTCCTCATCTAAAAAGTTTTCCTCTGTGGATTCTATTGTCAGTAGAACTGTATTTCAAAGCCTTTTAACCAGAGCGAGAAGGTGCTGCCAAAGGTTAACCTCAATTTCAGCTGAAAACACTTACTCAGAGCTGCAATTTTCAGGTTACTAAGCTCAAAGAAATGTCTATAGTATTTTAATTAGTTTGTCAGGAGACAGCTGGTGGGGGGAGGATAAGGAGCGTTGTGAAGAGTAGGCAATTAAATAAACCTGCAAAGAATTTTTAAAAACCCCAAACTAAACTATCAATACATGGAACAACTTATTTTCAGAAAGAAAAATAACCAAACAGCAGTAGCACTTCACAATATTTCTTTCACATTTGCTGTTTGTCTCTCCCCACGGTGGTGCAGCACCTTCCCAATCCGGGGGCTGATTCTGCCTCGTTATATGTGGAGTGTGGCTGCTCAGGCAAGAGCACCTTCAAAACTACCCAGAGGGCTGCTGCACACAGGAAGCAGTGCAGGGGGAAGTTAGAGCTGCTGTGTGCTCTTCAGAGCCTAGCAGGGCTACAGGATCCTCAACCCATAAATGTTCCCATAAAATGGAAAAAAGTGGCTGTGTCTCACTTTTTTGGATAACCCACAACAGCATCATAAGCTCTCCTTTATCATATTCATAACATATAGAAAAGCTGAGCATGTTTCTCTTTGTGTTGCATGTAAACCATGGAAAATAAGCTTTTCCCCCCCATATTCTATTATAACACACATCACATTTATGCTATAAGTTTCCTTGTGTATCCTGTTTTGTAGTTACATATTCCAGGGTTGAAATGGCCCCAGTGAGACTCCCATGCTCTTTAGAAAATGCCCACACAGTCAGCATGAAATAAGGACTGCCTGAACACCATGGGTTGGTGCTCTTTGGAACAGTGATGTGCTCCACTGAAACAAGAAACCAAGTGAGAAGATGTCTGGACAACCACTGATAGGATTCAACAGAGCTTTTAAGCTGAGAGGCTTGTCCTGCTCTTCCTTAGTTCCTTTCCAGTTTAGATAGCACAGGGTTTTCATCTTTCAAAATAAACAAATAAACAATTTCAAATATGAAGAAAATCAAGCAAATTGATGTAGTCAGTGCTATGAATGCAAGTCTTCACATTAGCATTGACAAAGCAGTCAGGTTTATCAGAACAGGAGAGCAAGCCAAGGGCTCTGCTTCCCAGTCTTTCAGTACACCAAAAGACCACATTCATGTCCGTGAGGTGCTCTGCAGGAGCAGAACAAAGCTCCCAGATATGGACAGGAGCTTACCATCTTTCAGTAAGCATTTTTTTTTCTCCACTAAGCATTCCCATAGTGATATAATTGTGAGGTAGGCCTCTAATTAGCATTAAGATCCTAAATACCCTTGAGGAGGAAGGCTAGAATATTTTGAGATTCTTTCTCAGATTTCTCACAACAATACTCTCCACAATTACCTTTCAATTTACAGCCTAGGTTTTAATCTAACCTCTAATATTTATATTTCTTTTATCACTCACTTATGTCTCAGTACTTAAACTCAGAATTAATAAATTATGAAGAGAAGCAAACAAAAGATTGTTTCTAACTTCAAAGGAGAAAGTTCTGAGATCAACAATTCCGGCATTCTTCTCAGTTTCACCCTACTGCCATTGAAGCAATGTACTAAGTGTCTTTGACATTTTGCCTTTTTTCATCTCAACATCCAAACTAGCCACTGTAGTGGAAATGTTCAAAATATCACCTAGATCAATCCTGTTAATATGTAATAGGATCTGAACACACTCTTCACAGGTACCAATTTGAAAAGGTACTGTGTGCTGTCAAGTGTGAGTATTTGAAAGAATGAGTTTACTGTAAAAAGCGACTGTAAAAAGGGCATTGTGGAATTTTATCACCTTTAGGATTTCCATATCAAATGAGTGCACTTTACAAATACAATAGAGGGTTGGGGGTTTTTTTTCTGCTAGTGTATTAAGTTGTATAACCAAACCAGGATCCAGGAGATATGCTGTGCTCCTTCATTCCTGTGCATCACCACTGGAAAAACAGACATACATGCTTTGTAGGCCAAATGGGGACTTCATTTACACTCTGATGGCATATTTAGCTTGATTCTCATCTTGTGTGTGAGATTTTTACTGTCATTCTTCACGATTTGCGCTTTATAAGTGCAATAAACATCTGACAGTTGTGTTCAAAATACATCTTCACTCTCACTTCAGTTTATTTTGGTGGGTTCAGACAGATATACCAGACCTGTGCTGACATCTGTGAGTCATGAACAAGAAGGAACATCTTCCAGCCCAGCATATTAATGTTTCATCATTGACAAGTATAAAAATATTAACATAAATATGTATTTAAAAAATAAACCCTTATGCTGTGTATCTCCAGATAAATGTAAGGAACAGGTAAACAAGAAATGTTTTTTAGGTAAATGAGAGTATGCCAGTTTTGTGTACCATTCCAGGGCTGCTACAGCCCCACAAACTTTGAAGTGAAGTAAAGTAAGCACAAAATAGTTACACATCTTTACAGTTGCAGGTGTCTTAGCACCACACTTTATCACCCTCACATCAATAAACTGGTTTCTAGTGCTGTTTTCTTTATTAGGCTTCTAGGTTTAATCTTCTCATTTCTCTAATAATTTTGCTTTACTTATGACACATTTTCATTAAATGTGTAAGCAATCAAAATTGATACACAAACGAATGAGACTGTCTAATTTCCTCCTTTCAATTCCTGAAACAAGTGGCAGAAAATATTTAAATATCTGTTTGGAATAAGCCTGAGTAGAAATGGAGCAGAGGGATGTCTTTCAATGCTGTTCTGTGGTAAAATGGAGGATTTCTGTGCCTCCATGTCTTGTTCTGTTTTTGTTCCTATGCTGAAGATTTTGGCTTCACCTGTAATAGCAGCCACAGTAACAATAATAAAAGTAACATAAACAGTAATAAAAATAACAGTTATAACAACAACTACTACTACTACTACTACTACTACTACTACTACTACTACTGTTTTCTTATTCTAGAACACAACAGGACAAGTACTAACCACAATAGCTGGAATAACTGGAGTTATGATAACCGTGGCTTTAATTCTGATCATGACTTCATCCACTGAGCTCATCAGAAGGTCGTGCTATGAGGTTTTCTGGTACACCCATCACCTCTTTGTGGTTTTCTTCATTGGTTTAATAATCCATGGTATGGGGTAAGTATTTGTGTCAACTCTACAGGATATATGTACACAGTTTGAGATGAAACACCATCCAAATCTACAATACCATGCTTTTCTACTAACAAATTGCTGGATCATTGGTGAGATAACTAAATGAAAACATTCTGAAATTAAGATACATCACTGTTCTGAGGAATGAAAGCATCCTTCAGTTTATTCAGCCACTCTTCCACCATCTTACAACCTGTACCCTATCAATGATTGAACTTCCATGCTTGGGAACGGGACATTACAGATCAGGAATCAAACCTTTGTGGGTTCAAATTAGAAAGGGATAGGCCTTACACTCACAGCACTTGGAAGGCATTTTGAATGAGAATGCCTTGTAAAAGCTTGAGAAGCTTGCAGCATGTCATCTACCCTATGGCAGGCATCTCTGTGGCCATTCTCCTCTTTCTTAATAAATATAAAGTGATTCTGACCTTTCTCTGCAAGGATCAGAATCTCAAATTTCTTCACCATACAGACATACTGTGTAGTAGTGCTAGGTACCATACTACAAACCAGGTTTAAATGACTATAGTAACAAACAACTCAGGCTTATGACTAGCCCAGTCAGAGGGCTTTTATGGACAGAGATGACTGCCTGGTTGCTGTTTGTCTCTCTGTTCCTCTGCACAAAAGAAAGATCTGTCCTCTCAGCAGGGGATTCTGGTTCTTACAGTGAGGGACAGCAGATGCATGGGGCCTTCCTTGAGAAGCTCAGTGACTGATAAATCCTCTGTCAATGAAGAGTGAAAGCAGTAATGTGCTTAGAGTTGAAAACATTTCATCTTCTGTTTCCTGCTCCACTGGCATCATCTGCTTCTCCCTTGTGTGCTGTCCTCCACTTCCTTTTACCATTTCTGTGTGATAGCACTGATGTTAATTTACATTTACATTTTAATTCAGGGAGCACAATTTTGACATAATTCTTATGGTCTTTCTCACCCCCTGGACTTGGCTCACACCATGGTACAATCCCTGGGCTGCATAGCCCAGTGTTTGGGGTGGAAATACACTGACATGAGCTCATTGCTATGTTCCAAAAGCTAACAAGTGATCCATTCATAGGACCAAGCCAGACCTAGTCCTAAGCCCTAGGTAGCCCTCAATCATGTCCAGTGAGGAGCCCTCAGCAAAGATAGCTTTGCTCCATCGATCTTTTCCTGCTTGCTAGCTTTGTGTGCACATGGCTGCAAAACATAGTTAAGCTTTTCAGATCCGAGGACAGTCATTTGGTGTTCACAGAATCACAGAATCACGGTTTGTGTTGGAAAGAACATTAATGACCATCTAGTTCCAACCCCTCTCCCATGGGAAGGGACACCTCCAACTAGACCTGGTTGCTAAAAACCCTATCAGCCTGTCCTTGTGACCAGAATAGACTTTTTATTTCTATTTCATAAAATATTCAGATCTATTGCCCACCACTAATGTATGTACAGACCACGATTCTTTGACAGAGTGGAACTTCCTAGCCCACAGCAGCATGTGCAGGTGCCTGTTCTCTGGAGGAGCATGGATGGAGTTAAAATAAGGCAGGGAATAGGCCAGTAAAATAGTGTGTGGTGTTTTACTTTCCCCACCTCTTTCCTTGTGGTTTGAGAGTTGCCACATCCAGTTTGGCTTTGAGTGTTCCTGAAGCTGGCTTAATTAATTAGTCCCATTTTACAGAGGCAGAGCTGCAAGCAAATGCTATAAACTTTATCCTGGCCTGATTAAAATGCCCCCCTATCTCCTCCCTCTCTGGTAAAACTTTTAGAATCTAACTTCAAACAACTATAATGAACCTTTTAAAACCTTCAGCTTTGTAAGCTCCCTCTGTCTAGCCAGCTGACCAGCACTTCTGAGCCAGAGACTGCCCTGAAACTGGGGCACTATCTGAAGAGCCCTATCAATACCATTCAATGAGCACTCTGCTGGCTCCAGGCTGGGAGTGCACTGCAACAGAGCTTCCTCCTGCCCCAAAATATCCCTACCACCACCCTGCTAATGAAAAAGAGTCAAACCCCAAGGTTTCATTCACCTCCCCTTTCTTCCTCCTTCCTAGGTGGCTGAACAAACCTCACCCAAAACCAACTCCTTTCCTTTCTGTCTGAACAGGCGTCAGAGCCAAATTAAGTATGGAAAGGAAAATTCAGAGAAACAATACGAAGCAAACAGGGTTTCCCCATAAAAATCTTTCTTCTCTGCCCATAATCAACACCAGATGAAACCTATTTAAACTGAACAGTAAGGATTGATATATTTTTAAAAATTCACGTCATTAACATTCTCTGAAGTAAGTAAGCTAGAATTTAGTATGTTTAGAGTGTATACATCTAATTACACTCCTCCGACTTTATTAGTAGCTTTTAAAAATACATTTAGAAAGCAGTAAAGGAAAGAGAAGGTCTGTCACTATTAAATTTTATCACTTTACTAAACACAACCAGATGCTCAAATACTGAGGAGGTCAAAGAGCCTACTCCAAAGAACTTGGAAATCAAATTTTGCCACATACAGTAAAAGGTACATTTTCTATGCAAGGGCTCTCTCCATTTCAGCTGCACTGATGGATACCAATACACACTTCTCGCCTTTGGTCAAAAATTCACTGCAAAACTAACAGAAGGGTAATTTGAACAGGAGAGCAGAACAGGTTTGAAATGGTCAGTTCTCAAACTTTCATTTATATCAGAACTGGCATTCAGTTACTACTGCAAAACCTAGAGAGACAGAGAAACCTTGGAAAAAAGCATATCATTGATGAACATTTTTGTTTTAAGTCAGCTTGTCCGAGGTCAGACACCCCAGAGTCTGCTGCTCCACAATGTCACTTACTGTAAAGATCGCTACTGGGAATGGGAGAACGCCACTCAGTGCCCTTTGCCACAGTTTTCTGGCAACAAACCTGTGGTAAGAGCGATGTTTGTCTTCTGTTTTTAACTTCTGTCCTTTCTTGGAAGGCCAAATATCTTAGGGAGCAGGGGGCTGGATCATATGCCAGTGACTGGCACTTACTGTTATGTTTGGAGAGTAGTTTTACATTCCTGTTCCGTGATATCAGCCTCCTCTGTAACCAGTACAGCATGCACAAGTGAAGAGTATTGTATACAATTTTGGTGTCATTAACAGCAATTTTTATTTCTAGAAGATCTTTTAGTTAGAGAACACTAACTAACCCTCTCTTTGAAGGGTATGAATATCAAAATTATACTCTCTCTGATCTGTTGTATACATTTATTCTGAATAATTCAGTATCACCAATATCCTTGATGTGTTCATTGCACAAAGATAGCCTCCAAGTGAAAACCTTATGAGGGTAGAGATACAGAAAATACAACAGAACTGTAAAGAAAACCATGTCCTTCCTTTGGGGCACACACTTCATAGTGTCCAGTCTTGATGTCTTAAGTTAGGTAAAAAGGAGAGAATTTGAAACAATGAATTATGAAAGGGAAAGGCAAAAGGCAGGAAAAATGTCCCATGGAAGGGTGGTTTTGCTAGAACAAGATTGCAAATCCACAGGGGGTAATTAAGTAGCAGACTTGTATAGTATGTCAGATGTCTCGCATACAAACAAAATCATTTAACATTTTCAGCTCAAGATTTAGGTTGCTCATATGCAAGTTTCTGTTGTTTCTTCCAAAAAGAAAAAAAAAAGAAAAAAAAAAACATACCAAAGGAAATCCTAAAGTAAAGGAGAAAAATTAGCATTCAGTGGCTGGTAGCTCTTTTAATGGCTGACATAGATTTTTCTTAAACTAAACTATTGTTAGCCACTATCCAACCTGCATATTAATGAGAAAATGAATGCCTCTCTAAAAATTTCAGCTACAATGTCACCATAAAAATCAATACGTGGCTACACACCATGAATACAGACACAAGCTTGCTTCCTGACATTCATTATCATAAAACTAACTGGAAAGAACTTGCACTTCTCTGTGTTAAACCTATTTTGTCACACATTCCTGCCTACCCAGGGCCATACTTGCAAAGTCACATTACTTTAAAAGAGTTGTGGTAATACCATATGGCATATAGATCATCTATAGGAACAGCGCCTTGCTGGATGTGTAATGTGATACAGTGTGATACCTGCTAGACACCGCAGACAAATAGCACAGATTCACTCAGAGGCTAAAAAGCCACGGCGAGGTTTGTGCAGCACTGGCAGGGGCTGGTGCAGGTGGCACAGCCTTGGAGCAGGGAGGGGACAGCCCTGTGCATGGCTGGGACATGAAGTGACCAGAGGGCACACCATGCTGGCCACGGCTCCTGGGGAGGCCACCAGGACAGAGCCCCTGTCTCAGTCACGCCACACCGCTCCCCTGCTCTGTACTTCAGCAGGGAGGAAGCAGCCCAGCCAGGCTCCTACTGAGGACGATGGAGCACTTCTCCTCCACCCGAGGTGTCTGGACTTTTGTCCTCACAGCCTCGCCTGAGCCACCGCCGCCCCATCTCAGTCCATTCTCATTACAGGAGGAAACAGTACTTGGGCAAGAATACCAATGCCCTGATTAGCCAGCCAAGAGCCGTGCAGCTTAAGAGCCCATCTCTCCTGGTGGATGCCCCGTTGTCCCAACCCAGCCAAGAGATATTTTGGATTGAATGCTCCATTGCCCTGGAGTGATGGCACATCTAAAATCCCAGCTGAGCTCTCGCACAGGGTAGCCTGCAACCTTATCATTCCTGTCACATGCTTTTATTTACAGGTAGCACAAATGGAAGGGAGGAAGAACAGATCTCATCATTATTGTGACTTGATATATGCAAATGCATTCAAGACATGAGATTACCCACTGCGCAGAGACACCTGTAGTATTTAGGGACAACGGATGTGTTGAGTTTCTGCTTTAGATGAGAATCTTCTGGCTTATGCTGGTTTCTTCCCATAATAAAATCATGCTCCTTTGTTTTGTTTTTTTTAAATTTAATTTTCAAGACTTAACCTTGGGAAGTTGCCACTCCATCGTCTCAGCACTTTCTAAGTGATTTAAGATGATTTTAAGTCCTGCTTCTCATAAAAGTTACTTTATAACCCCTGTTACCCAGCTTGTGGAGCTGTATTTCAGCAAGTAAAGTTACCCTTCGGCAATTTTAAAAGCCACATGATTGTGGAGTATTCAGTGTAATTAAAAAAAGTGGAAACAAACCAGTATCTCTTCCTGGGGGGGGGGTGTGGAAAGAAGGATTTTTTTAAATCATGAAGATTCAATTATATCTAATTATCTTAGCTATCAGTGCAACTCAGTGAAATGATCAGCTCATATTCCTGGGTAGCCCAGTATCTCTGATTGTTACAGTGATCAGTACATACTATTACCAAGTACAAGCACAACAATCATCTGCTATACTTAAAGTATGACCAACTCAGTATCCCAATTAAAAAAAAAAATAGATAGATAAATAGATAGATAGATAGATAGATAGATAGATAGATAGATAGATAGATAGATAGATAAAGAGTTGACTAATGGATTAAATGAAAATGTATTCCATTTCTCTAATTGAATATTTTGGACTTAATGTTTTCTCATGCCTCATCAGAAAACTCACAGCTGACAATAACAGCTACTCCTATCTGACTGCTTTGAAATACTTTTAAAAAAAAAACAAAACCAAAAACAACTAAGGCTATGGGTAATATTGTATAACCGTATGCATCTCTACAGCTTCAGATCCAATGATATCTATATGTAACAACACCTAAATAGACTATTCCTTTGCTTTTTAATAGGAAAAGATTTTAAAGGACTCTTCTTGGCCAGAGTACAGATAGATATTAGCACTGCTTTTGGAGTGTGTTTGTGAGGGAGTCCCATATGTCTATTCCACAAGAAAGCCAGAACAGCTACAGCAGCAACACAAGTACTCTCTGGAGAAAGACAAACCAAAAATCAGAGAAAATCAAGTAATTTAATTTTAAGCTACCTGCTGACTTAAACCAGAAAAGCAAAGTATTTTGTAGACATTCAAATAAACCTTGTTTTTTAATATGGAATTGTCTACAGGCTTGGAAGTGGGTGTTAAGTCCTGTGGTGTTGTACATCTGCGAACGAATTGTTAGATTTTGGAGATTTCAACAGGAAGTCATCATTACTAAGGTATGTAACATAGCTCATATATCTGCAAAAAAAACCCATTATGTCAATGGATTTTTTATCATTTTTAGGTAACTTCTCTATATTAGGAACCTCATTTTTCTCTCCTAGCTTCAGCAACTTTTCAATCATTACCATGTTTTCAGCCAAGTATTGATTTTACGCTTTGCATTTATTCCAATAGCAAATCCATAAGAATATTCCATATGGGACCAAACTTGATTAATGAAGTACCAGACTTTACACCACAGTAGCACAAACATCTGTTTGTGGTGTCTTTTTAATGAACTAAAACCACGTTCCACTGCAGTTAATGCCAGAGACTACCTTGACTTCAGTAGCAGCACAGAGTTTTTACTTTAAAATCTGGAGGCTTCTGAGGAGATGAAGGGTTATATGATCAGTTAGCATATATAGTTGAAACTTCCCTAATATCACTGTAACAGTTTCTCCCAGCCTTGTGCCAAGGGACTATTTAAGTCACACCAGAATAGACTGAGGATGTCGCTATTGGAGCAGCTGAGTCCACACATCAAGCCAGGGATCAGGAACAGGTGTAGCTTGTGTGAGGGGGACAGGATGTTGGATAAGTCTTGCTGCTGATTTCACAGAGTGGCTGTGATCTGAGAATCTCAGTATATTATGTGCGACATACAAAACTGCTGCTTAACTGAGATTACCTCTTTATAAAAGTGTATTAGGATTGAGCTCACTGAGCTTTTTTCTTTGTAATCCCACAGAGTTAACAATGTTACATGAGAGTGAAACAAGGAACTAAGGAATTATTCTAATCAATTAAGAAATACTTTTGCACAGGTTATACCAAGAAAATTAACGAACTGTTGAATTGCTACAGTCTTTCCTCTGTGCTTACACTCAGAAGTCAAGCTATCCCACAATACATACTGTATATGCTCTGAACCCATTGGGCAACAACACTGCAGGTTACGATATCTGCTACCTAATGAAAACAAGTATTTACCCTTCTGAATGAAAATAAAATTGGTCCCTATATTGCTCTTTAGGTGGTGACACATTCCTCTGGAGTCCTTGAGCTCCACATGAAGAAACATGGCTTTAAAATGGGAGCTGGCCAATATATATTTCTACAGTGCCCATCTGTCTCACAGCTAGAGTGGCACCCTTTCACCCTCACCTCAGCTCCCGAGGAAGACTACTTCAGCGTCCACATACGGGTCATCGGGGATTGGACTGCAGCCCTTTTCAAGGCCTTTGGAGCAGAGGAAAAAGCTTTCAAGGAATTGTGGATGTTACCAAGGTTTGAATGAGACTATATATTTTAAAATGTTATTCCTACATTTTAAAATAAATGTTAACATTTTAATTAATTTTGCATGTGTTTTTTCAATGATACATTATTAGATTGTGGTTCTGGATTCATAAGTACATTATGCTAGCAAACACCACAAACAAATAGCCATGAGCTGGGGCCAGAAGCTACCAAGAGGATGTGATGACTAATCCAAGATTTAAAGTCCATATCAATATCCTTATCTCTGTTGCTACCATCTGGATCTCTAATATGTATATCTACACATAAGGATACCTAGTTTGGAAGATGGTTGTTTAATAAATGACACTGGAAGACATCTGCTAGATTTGTGCCTCTGTGCTTATGCTCTGATGGCACCCATCCCTTACCATCCAAAATTTTAGTTTTTCCCTTTCAGTTACTTAGATATTTCATGGTCCCTGAAACATCTGCATAAACTTTACTTCTTTCCAACAGTCTCCTTTGACCTCATCTCTATTTCCCAAACCCTGCTCCACTTTATAAAGGTTATTTGTATTCAAATGATGCATTTTTGGAACGTTAATACGAGCAAAAAGTTGATTCTCTGTTGTTCCAAGTTAGCAGGGGATCCTCTGAAGTCAAGGAGCCAGCCTGACTTACTGCAGCCAAGGACCTGGCTCTACACAGAATGGATTCAAACCACGTAGCTCTACCCCTGCACTGCTTGCAGGAATAGGAGAGATTTTTAGAAAAGAACAGCCCAGCACAGGGTCATTTAAATTCTGGTGGAGTGTGTAGGGCCTGGGACTGGAGGGACTGATTTCCCCCTGGAAAGATTACAGACACCACTGAGCTGCAGAGGTTTATTGAAGGGTGGGTGCAGACAGGAAAGTCTGGTCCAGTCCTTGCATTGTATAAGGTAATAAGAATTAGAAATGAAATCAGTGTCTTTGTTAAAGGCAACTGGAATGAGAAGTATGCCATTTCAGCAGAACTGGAGCAAAAATTGTTCAAACTGATTGACAGCAAGTGTAAAAAATGAGGAAGAGAAAAAATGATCAAATGTTACTTGCCACAATGCAGGGTTGAAATTAACAGTACTGTCATATATAAACACTCCTCTTTTTAATCTTGTTAGGGTGCTTATTGATATCCTTCTGTTTCTTTCTTTCAATATACTAAAAAAAAAAAATTCAATAGTTAAACTAGCAATAAAGCAAAAATCAGGTCTTTTTCACAGTTTTCAATATCTAAAGTTATGAATCAAATTGGTGACTATATTGAAAAATAACATACAGCAGAAACTGTGAAGAAGACAAAAGACACAGGAACTGAATAATAAGGTAGGGTTAAGAATAAAATATATGGGTTTTAATTACTTAAAGAGGATTAAAGTAAAATGTTCATACATATATATAGGTATATATATATATAGGTAGCAAAGACAGTAGTGATTTCTGAAAAATTTGGGAGCTAAAACCATAGAATAAACTATTCATGTGAAAATGATCAAGTTCCATGTTATGCCTCTTCAGGACTTTGGCTGACTTAATTGCTGGTTTAATACATTGCCCCAAAATTTAACTGCTCTTACAGTCAGGAGTACTACACACTCATCACGGTGACCAGCAAATGTTTAAATTCTAAAAATAATCATAGAATCTGTTAATGATTCTGTTAAAGATTTCTCCTGCCTTCCCCATAAATCTAATTTATTTTCCAATGAAATAGACACAAAGAATATGGACAATCCAAATCAAAGCAAGAAAGTCCATATCCCTATTTTCTCCTTCTCTTTGGCATATTTAAATGTAATATTTTTTTGTCACTTTGTTTACTGTCTTTCTACCTTCGTCCACTCTGCCTAGATCAAATGAATGAGTTACATAGCTCAGTTTCTCCTTCTCCTCTCTCCTCCCTGCTTCTCTGAGGCTTTGTATTTGGCTAAGCTGTATAGCTATGGCTGAGTAAGGCATTCAAACCAATGATGGGATCTCTGTCACCTGAGGATTTAGGAGCAGACTGACAAGACAAATCTCTTCAAGGGATGATTCAGAAATAATTGAACCTGTCTTATAGCACAGCAACAGACTAGAGAATCCTTGAAATTTCTTCCAGATCAATTTTTTCTCAATCTACTGACAACAATGAGAATTGCTTCCAGCCTCACACTGAACTACATAGAAAGCTTATCTGAAAGATATATATATATATATATATATGCCATATATTAACCATATTTTACTGGAAGTTTTGAGTGAAAAAAATACTGTGCTGGGCAACAATCTAAATAACTGTATATATTCGTAAAAAAAAAAAAAATCTTTATGTCTAGGGTCAGATTTCCAGAAGTTATGCCATAGTAGCTATTTTGCTTGCCATTGCACTTGCAGGGCATTTCAAATATTGAAATAAAAGGGAAAATGTTTGCTAGGAGACTTTTAAAAATGTAACAATAAGGTCTGAGATACATTGTGTCCCTATATTTGTGTGTAGCATTGCTTAGGAATCCCCCTTTCTTTTCCTGTTAAAACACTTAATTATGTGTGCCTATTTGTTTGTACTATTTAAGGATAAATTTTAAGGATGATTCATGAAATAAAGAGCACAAAACAACAGAAAATCTAAAAGGAAGAAAAAAAACTTTTTTTTTTTTTTTTTTTTTCCTGAAGACTGGGTGTTGGTGAAGCCATCTTCTGAGCATCTACGTTGTATAAAGATAGAGCTGGAAAGAGCACTTCAAAGTACTGGGTGTATTTACATTTCATGTTGCTAAAGGAATGAATCTGATTATTCAAGAAACTTTTTCATCTCTAATTTTGACTAAAATTAATTTCTTGGCATCAGCAATATTGATTACAGGAGGTAGCAATATCAACAAGCATTTCTCCTTACACATTCTGCCTTTACATCAGATACTAAGTACAGTATTATGTCAAAAATGTACTCCTGAAATACTGCTTTTTCAGAAAGATCTGAGAAAATAGTAGTTCCTTTGCATATGATGACTTTTTTCTTTCTGTCTTCTCTTTTATTACTTTAACTCAAATACAGAACTTCTAAAAATGATTAATATAATCTGTTCCTCTTTACTTTGATATGTACAATATAACAAATAAAGCTCTAAAACAGGATGCTTTTCAGTAATTCATAATTAAATATGCAAATTCCACAGCTAAATTTGGACATGCAATTATATGACTAATCACATTTCAGAAAGCCAGAAAATTGCAATTGCATGCTTAAATAGATGGCCAGGCCCCAAATCCACATGGGTGCTCTTGTTGTCTCATTTCAGAAAAGACAGTTGCTTTGCTATTAAATGGCACCCACTGAAAATTAAATGTATTTGTACGAGCAATTTATGTGCCACCTTAGACACGTCTTTTCTCCTTTATTTTAACAGAAATTCAGTTTTGACAATGTGTAGCCCAACAAATGTTAACCTTTCTGTCACTTTATGTGTTGTTGCCTCTTGACTAAATGTCTTGTTGCTGTAGACTGGCTGTGGACGGACCATATGGATCTGCAACCACAGACATCTTCCACTACCCAGTCAGTGTGTGCATTGCGGCAGGAATCGGAGTCACACCATTTGCCTCTATTTTAAAATCCATTTGGTACAAGTGCTGCAATCCTGACACAGTACTGGCACTGCAGAAGGTAGGTGGGAAAGTTTATTGCTTCATTAAAAAGTTCTACAAATGAGCCTGTTTAGCCAGGGGAGAGAGGCAATTCAAAGCTAGCGGCTCACTTGAGTGTTTTAACTCGCTCTGAGGAGCAGCCACTCCCTTTCCAGATGCCTTAGGAACTGCTGTGGGGTGAAGTCTCCTGAACTCACTGTCATTCCCTGAGTAAGAAGGTAGCCCCAGCTGCAGTGTTTTTAGTAAAAGCTGAAGGATCAAAATTTCAATAGTAACTGGAGATAACTGTGGAATGTCTTCCATAGCTGGACACATAATTAGAGAGCTACAAGGGAAACTTTTGCTCCTTCTTACCAAAAATAAGTCCTGCAATGTCATCTCAATCAGAAGTGGAGGGCAGCACTTGCTCTTTGTCCAGGTACAAGTTTCATGAGGGTCCTTCAGCAGCATGTCCTGCTCCAGAAGGCTGCATTCAGCAACCATTTGCTGTTTTTCTCACATTGCAAATTCAGGATATTAACCAGCACAGAAGGAGTATAAAAGGCATTTAATCTCTGGATGAGATGCATATACTGAGATGCATTTATCAAGATACATATTACTCCCTCAAACCACTTTAATTATTTTGTTGAAAAAATATGGTCAGATCTATAAGGTAAAGGTGGCACCAATACTCTTAATTTTCTAACCTGTTATACACCTTCTGCTTATGGCATGTGAGGCAGCACTGGGGAGGATAGCTGAAGAAGAGATAATAGGTGAAGTGGGTGAGACAGTAGCACAGAAAAAAATCAGCACTAAACATTCTCCTCCATATCCATCATGGTAAGCTTCTTGTAGGCCATTTTCCAGTGTAAAAGCTGAATCAGGAACTGTTCCACATTTCACATTTAAGGACAAACATTGAAATTGTATTGGAGGGGACAGATCTCTGAAAGGGTCAATATATATGGAGCTGATTGCAGGACCAAGGGGTTGATCTTTTTAAATGAAAGAGTGTTAAAACTGGCATCTTAATGACGAGCTGCCACTGAAAAAGCATCTGGGATTTTAGAAACTGAGGAGTTGAGGACAGGTTCAAATTGCCAGGGGGGATCTTTGAGGCATAAAAAGCACTGAAAAGGGAGGGAAATAAAAATGGAAATACATGTTATTTGAGGAAAAAAGTGTATTTGCAAACACTACGATTGTGCAAGGATATACAATCTTTTCACAGTAAGGAGAGTTACGCGTATGGCATACAAATTTTATATACGAAGGTTATGTATATCCTACATGTATACAAGTGAAAGTATTGTTATTGTCATTGGTGCTATCTTAAGGGGAAAAGAACAGAATTTAACTATGCATCAATAGTATACTTGAGGGTGCTCGTTCATAGGGAGAATTAAGGAGAATTTCGGGTAAGTGTGCCTGCAAAGATAAATGCATCATGCATTCTGCCATGGTTTTCTGCTCTACAGTTCAGTTTTTCTGAATTCATGTGAAATACAAAATTATCAAGATTTCTACTTGTCTTTTCCTTATATCTTGGCTTCCTTATTGGTGCAGTGGGAATAGTGATGTTTATTTTTCACAGGTGTTATGAGGCTAAATTTCATCAGTGCTTGTAAAATATTTTGAAAGTGTGGATGAAAGGTCATGGGGAAGTTCACAGCATTACTTAAAAAAATTTAGCAGTCATCTCAGTGAGAGCGATTAATCTCAGGGTAGTTCCATTTTTTATTTTTTTTCCATTGGTTAAAAGCTTCCACTTGTGGTATAATTACAAATAATTTAATCTTCCTCAAAATATTCAGCACTCTCTTTCTGCCATGATGAGTACCATAGAAATGTCTATTAAGGAAATAAATAAGAGGTTTTTCTTTTTTTTAACAACTTCATTTTGATTTGAGTACAGCTATCATTACAGTTATTGAACTAATATTTCTTAGTGTTGCCCACATATGGTTGAGATATAAATACTCATAGTTTCCATAATGTCTGCAGCTGTATAATTTAAAAAACCCAACAAATCAAAAGTAGTACACATTTATCTAATTGATTTTTCACAATTAAATAGCCTTAAACCCTCATTTCCCCATCATTTTTCGCATGTACTGTAGTCATGGCTGAAAGTTTATACTGGCTTTAGTTATGCATAATAAGATTGGGTTTTAGTGGTCTCATTTTTCAGATCAATTGTTACTGAAATTGATAAAATTGTACTGATCCAACAGATTCTAGTATTAGCAAACATCTACTTTCTCTTCCCTACAAAAGACATAAGAAAGGTCCTACTGAGTACTACCAAATATCCATCTAGCCCCATATCCTGTCATCAATGGTGGCTCTTCATGAACACCTAGAGAAAAGTACACAGACCAGAAAAATCAGGTGGTGATTGGTTTTTACAGGACGCTTTCTCACCATTGAGAGACTCGTAGCTCGGTAACACCTTGATACAAGAGTTGTACTCCTTTCTTTAATATCTCTGTGGCTTTTTCTTCCATGAGGTAGTCTAATAGCTTTTTGAATCCATGTAGACAGCCATAGTGTCTTGTGGCAGTAAGTTCAGCTACATACTTAGAGGAAAACACAGTCAGCCTCTTCCATTTGCTTTGAGACCGACTTCCCCACCTGAGGTAAATCTCTGCCCCAGTCCCCAGACCTTCGGCAAAAAAATCTTGTCTTGAGGACCTAAAAACCTGGGCTCTTGCTTCTATCAAATGTAACCATCCTTCTGATCTTTTTTGATAACAGTTTAAGCTTTTTGCTTCAAATTTAGGAATATGATTTTGAACCTTGTTATGCATTTATAGGAAAGGCTGTTTTCTGCCGCCCTAACTCAAGGTCACTGGCTCCTGTAGGCTGCCAAACACACCTCCTGCATACCCCAGGCTGCAGGCACTGCTGTGCCTTACCTGGAGTGTTCCCCCGGAGTGGCTCCCTGAATTAATTATTCAGAGGAAGACCTTGGATTTTTTTATTTTTTTTTAATGTACTACAGCCCACAGGTAATGTAGTCTACTCAAGAGCAGGAAGGACTGGATGCTTGCAGGGAGGTGCCCACCTGCAGGTGTAAGAGGTTTTTGCAGGGATATTCATGCCTAAGAAGGAGCAGCAAGAGTCAGGGATGTAGCGTGTTCTCCTTGGACACCCCTTTAACGAAAAGCTGGCTTTGCCCAGAGCTGCAGCTCCAACTCTGCCTTCAGAAACAGATGGATGCTCATCAACAGATAATTATTAATGACTTTCCTCATGATGGAAGCTGATTTACAAAGAATGTTCTTTCACCTTACTGGAAAGAGGTAAGACAGCTCTTGCTCTTGTCCGTTGTACAAAATTCAGGATGTGGGAAACTGAAGGATAAGTATCCATGGCATCATGCTGCAAGGCAGCAGAGCATTACAGAAATAAGCAACTATTCAAACCCCTGCTTTGATCTGATTAATAACAATACTGCATCTAACTCAATTTACAAAAAGAGCAGTTGGAAAATTTAAGACAGTTTACTTGGGCAAGCCATCAAGCTGATGAATGCAATTGATGGCAGTAGGGTGGGTGGAGACTAATGAAACATAAATCTAAGCCAGATTTTTAAGGGTCTTAAATAATTGCAGTCAGTTAATAGTATGAGGCTTACAAGAAAAAAACAGGATTCACAATAATCTTTAATTATAGAAATGCACTAGAGCTACTTTATTCTACTGTTTTAATCAGGATTAATTTTTTGGTGCATTTATTGTATTTTAATTATATATGAAATGTGTTGTGCAATGCTATGGGCAGCCAGTGTAAAGAAAGGAAGACTTCTTTGTAAACACCATTTATTTTATCATATTAGACTAGAAGTCCTCTTTGGTCTAAAGGAAACTAATTCTTTTTTACCCACAGGCCATCTTCTTCACTATCTCATTTCTTTCTGAGATTATAATCACAGCCAAAAATACTTCTAATAATGACAGTCTTTCTTCATCACCGGATGTTTGCCACCTCTAACATGAAAATCAGGGGCAATGCAATGGGTGCCAGGGGATGAGCTTAAGGAATTTTTGCAGCTTCAGAAAGCAGCATCCTTTCCTTAGAGGACTGGGCCAGATGTGGCTTGATCCAACCAGTTGGACTGGCTGTTACTGTGACTGCCAGGCCTGCAAACAGCTAAAAGCATTCCTTCAAGATCCATAGTCTGATGTTCTGGAATCCAGTTCCCGAATTCAAAGACTGTATTGTCTCAACTCATTGGCTAGCTTTTCTTCCTCCTTCCCTGAATGTGCTTATCTCCCACATGCCCACATGCTCCCAGTTGCTACCCCATGAACAATTCTTTATTCGTTTAGAAATACATATCTCCTCTCCACACACATGCACTAAATATACATTTCCATAAAATGAACTGCTGAAAAAACTTGAGAAATAAGATGATCAAGTAAAGTCTGGGGGAAGAAATTTCTCACTACAAATCAACAGCTAGGGTGTGATACAGACTGACAGCACTCAGTGGGCTGATTTTCGAGGTTCTGAGTATATAGAACAAGTGAGGGCTTTAGGACTCAGACACCAGAAAGCTACATAAAGGTTAAGGCTATAAATCTTCCCAAGTTTTGGTAATTTAAAATACTGCTGTTGTTGGCCACAAATATGAAATTCTGTAAAGTCAGTGGGCTTGCTTTTTCCTCATAACCCATGCCAGTGTAAATCAGCAGCAACCCCCCACCATACAGCAATGAGGTCATATTTAAGGCAAAATATTGAAACAGAAGGGGAAAAAGCAAACTGCCAAGATGGTTAGTACTAAAGTTCCACAGACAGTCTTATTCCTGGGTTGTAAAAATACCCTACTTAACCCTGAATGCCTTATCTCTGTTTCTGGGATCATACATCATTTATATTTCTTACATAAACCACAGATGGTCCCTTACAGTACATTCAGATCTAGGAAACATCTCAAATTACTGTTAGTGTCTTTCACCAAATCTCCACTGAAGCATGGTATTACCACATTTTTCTCCCACCACCTTACCAGAAGTCTGACAACCTAGTATATGAAATCTTCGGGAAATCTCTTTACAGCTTTCTGGTTTTTTTCTCTTTTTTTTTCATTTCAGAAGTGTCCAATACACATTTCTATCTCCCTGATCCTGTAGAAAAGGGCTACAATTTCCAAAACATTGGAGTCACCACAATGATTGCCTTGGGGACATACTTCCAGATCACCTTTGATATTGCAATACAATAAAAGACAGAGGGGCTGGTGAGCAGAAAAGGAGATGGGTTGGAGGAAGCTAGGGGATTTCGCAACAAAATAAAAATCACAGTCACAATGAAATAAGTTCCAGTCATCCAGTTTTTATAAGCTTATACATTGTCCTTCCTGATGTTCTTTTCACATCTGAAACTGTGTATTTTTACACTTCCTCCACATTTGTGAATTTCTTCTTTGGATAAATTATGAATTACAGCCTTCAAGGGCCCATTCGAGGTTTGGCACCATCTGGTCAAAATAATGGTAGAGTGTGTGGCAACAGCTACAGAATTTGACTGACAAGAATTGCAATCAGATTTATCTTGTAATTGTGCTTCAGACTGCTATCAGGGTAGTGCCTGGGCAGACAGCCTGGGAATTTCAGACATTCATGCCCTCATCATTCCTGGGTAGTACAGGAACTCACAGCTGAGTAGTCTCCACATCTGTATGGGCTTCATACGAGGCACTGAGATGGAACCAGCAGGATGGACTGGCCCCAGTCCTCTACACAGCACAGCATTGCTGGAGGACATTTCCAACTGGGAAATCATGATGGTGTTAAAGACTCCCTAAGGTAGTTCCTGATGGGCCTAGGAGTGACTGAGTTCCAGTGCATTGATAAGATCCTGACACGGGATATCCATCTGTCCTGAGGCAGCTCCTGTTGCAAACTTTATTAGCTTGTACACAGACATGGTAACTGCAAATGGTCATCAGAAACCGTTCCTACAGAAGAGGTCATATAGGACAGCCTTCTCGAAAAAGCTAATTAGTTAGAAGATGCAGTTAAGACAACAGATGACAAGAGATCATGCACATGCAGCAGAGGTCACAATGATCCCTGGGCCAGCTGGCTGTAAAAACTGCACAGAAAAAGGTTCTTGCAGGCTCCCATTGCTCCAGCAGAAGATCCCAGAGGAAGGGCTCTTGAAATAGAAACTCATCATCTTATGGACAATGACTAACCATCTTGTCTGAAAGATTTTTTTCCTATGCAAGCATCACCTTATGCCAGGATATTAATAAATTAGCTTCTTTCTTTTAAATAAAAAAAACAAACAACAAACTCTGCTGTGTTTTTGATTTGTTGCAGTAAAGTAGGAAAAATAAGCCATAGGAATGATTAAAGGATGCCTCTTAGTGACAGATCCCAGGAACATTTGGTCTGCCATAGACACAACTATAGGATGACTTGATCCCACCCTCTAATGTCTATCTGTGGAACGAAACAGGCTCTCCAATCCAACAGACAACAAACAAAAAAAGTTGTAAAGTGAAACTAGTTAAATGCCAATTTTTGATAGAGAGGAGGGTTTCAAACAATAGAAAACGAGTCATGGGATAGCAGTTAATTTTGCCCCTTTGGCAATTGTAAATTTAGTTTCAGGTTACTCTAGGAACTAGATGCTCCCATTTAAATATTAAATACATTTTTAAAAAAGGAATAGGGACTATTTCTCACCTGTTTTATACAGGGCACATGACTTGAAGTACATAAGTACCTATTGGCAACATCAAGAGCTAGCCTTATGGCACAAGGTCTTGACAAAAAAGGAATTTCTTGCTTTGACCCTGAATAAAATTGAAATTAAACAAATCAAAAATTTCAAATAATCATCAAATTATTTGCAAGAAGTGAAGAGCTAGGTATTACAAGTCAAAGCAGTGATTCACTGGCAGGGATATATTGGAAGCTTGTTCATTGCCTACTTTCACTAGCACATTAATATATTTACTCTTTGTTTAAGACAAAAATCAAAATTTTAAATTGTCAAAATTATGTTTAATTATGTTTACCATGGATTTTGAGTGGAGAATGGTTATGGTTAATGAGTTGAGCCAGTAATTAGGAAGTTTTATTGAAAGTTTGCTTTTTGTTAAATCTCTTTACTTTATTTGACAGGTTTATTTTTACTGGATTTGTCGAGACCCATCAGCATTTGAGTGGTTTGCTGATCTTCTGTTCCATTTGGAAACAAAAATGGCTGAAAAATGGAAAAATGATTTTCTAAGCTATCATATATTTCTTACTGGCTGGGATGAAAGTCAGGTAATAATGAAACTGTTTCAAGTTAGAGTTAATGTACCTTGCTTTTCCAGTATGGTAACATATGGAACAGGAACAGCTGAATAAATGATGGGTGAAGTGGAGAGACAAAGAACTGTAAATATGAAGACACTAAGGTGTCTGTTTACATCTCACATTTAGGAAAATAGGGATGGAGAAATCCAGCCAGTGATTCCTCCAGTCCTGCATCTTGTCTTGGGCAAATATGATTACCAGGTGTCTCAGAGCAACGTGCACAGAGCTTTCAGGAGCTTGTCAAGGGATATTTTGTCTATGTCTTAGGAACAGTATTTCATTAGATTCTGTCATTTTTGTGCTGAAATGTGGAGGGCTGTCTAAAAAGTGTAGGTTTCATTTACTCTTATTATTGACTATAACTTCTGTTGCTCACATTCATGTATATATATATATCCGGTGCATTTTTGAAAAGTACTGCACTTGGAACATTTTGGCAACCAACTCTATGGTCTAATTCATGTTGTTTGAAAAGGCATTTTCTCTGACTGACTTTAAATTTGCCTTCTCATAATTTCATTGGATCATACCACCTCAGGCACTTAATTCTTAGACTGGGTCAATATTTTTCAACTCTTTAGTCTTTACCTAAACACAAATGTGTTGATTTTCCCTCTCTCTCTCTCTCTCTCTCTCTTCCCTTTTTAATGGATCGCTCAGATCATGCAGTGATAAGTTAGGCACCTGCCAGAAAAACTCTAACAGGGAAGTCTTTGCTCTACTGTTTTATTTCCTGCTGTCTCTGTTGAATGAAGGACTGCCTAGCAGAGATGAAAAAAATACAGATTTCATAGAGCTTTTCCTTTTCTGCCTCTGCTGATACAAAACCCCCATTGTTTCTTTCTGCTTTCCTTAGAGTTTCTGTCAAGTAATGAGGTATGTGCATAAAGCTGTATTCAGAAAAATCTACTCCCATTGTGAAGTATATGGCAGTTATAGAAACTACTGCTCTGTATTAGCAGTATCACAGGGTATTACCTAAAACCTGCTGTTAAAGAAGCTATTGGGGAACCTAAAAAACCTAAAAAAACCACAAAGTTGCCCTCATCTTTCAACTATCATCTTACTTCCCTCTTGGGCAAACATCAGGCCAGAAGTTAGGTAGGGTGACAGCTGTTCTCGCTGGGGCTCTTCACTCATGTACCCTTCACTTTTCTGAAGGGACTTCTTCCTCTCTTCCATAATCTCTCTCAATTCCTGTCAGGGAATGTTCTTCAGTTGTTATTTCTTCCACTCTGACCTGGGCACTGTGCTCAGTAACATCGCCTTCATTTACACATAAAGCTCCCTAATCTTGCAGGACTTACTTATCTTTAGTAAATTCCTGTTCATCACTCATCAAAATTTGAGCTTCAGCACCAGTAGTATTTGAATGATATTTTACTTCTCCCCCAGCAAAAAACCAAAACAACATTCTCTGTGTTCTCTCCCTGTCTCACCATATAGCTGGCCAGTAGTCAAGTGAAGTTGAACCCGAGGAGCACGGGCATTTTAAATCTTCTAGTACACCCTCCTTTACTGAGACGTGTCTGCTCCTCAGACATGCTTGTTCAATGCTTTGAGCTCTTTGCAGACTCCATGTTGGCAACAGATGGTCAAGCAGATAGAGCACATGCTCTGCCTCTGCTTGGACAAGCTCCCTGAAATACCCCTGAGACTCCTACGCAACCTTAACACTGTGAGCTATTGCAAAGGCTCACATCAAAAATCCTGGCAAACTTCCACTTAATGAGAACAGCCCATCTTCTGAATGGGACAATTTTGCTGCAAACAATCCAAAAATTCTGCAGTTTTCTACCCCTCACTCTTACCAAACGATTAAAGTTCTTTCATAGACTATTCCAAATCCTTCATGACAGTGACTCAAACTAACAAGAAGAAGCTTTTAGAAACAGGACCTCTTGTGAAAACTTTGTTTGACTAGAATAAATGTGCTGGTAAAGAACAAGGAAGACTCATTAGAAGAAGAAATAGATATTATTCCTAGGAAGTTAATCTAAATTTCAGCAACTACTTCTGCAAAAGATGATAATGGTTCATGCTAGGGCCTGGACTAAATTCAAAGTCCATTTTTAAACTTACTTTCCTCTGTTAATTTCTTGATAGTGACAGCAATGATGATAGTCCACAGTGGAAACAAGTATATTACTCCTACATAAGAGCAGCACAATTAGGAGCGACAGTGGTTTCTGTTTTTAAATGCACCTGGGAAGTACTCAGATAGTATGGTATTGGGTGTAGTACAGGAGCTGAAGGACAGTAAATGCCCATGAAAACCAGGATTTTTTTCCTGGCACTTGGGAGCTGAGAAACTCACTTGGTTCACCTGAGGTGATCCACTTTCTGCACCTGCCTCTACTTGAGGAGAAAAGCCTCTGAGAAAACAGTGAGGGTTTTAGAGTCACAGAATAGTTAGGGAAAGAGACCTCTGGAGATCCTCCAGGCCAACCTCCCTTGACAAGGCAGGGTCACCTAGAGCAGGTTACACAGGGACTTGCCCAAGTGTCCAGAAAGAGGCTCCACAACATCCTTGGGCAGCCTCTTCCAGTGCTCTGCTGCCCTCAGTGTAAAGAAATTCTTCCTCATGTTGAGATGAAACTTCTTGAGTTTTAGTTTACGGCCATTGCTCTTCATCCTGCCACTGGACACCATGAAAATAGTCTGGCAGCATACTCCTGACAGATGTCTTTGAGATATTTACATGCACTAATGAGATCCCCTCTCAGTCTTCTCAAGACTAAACAGGCCCAGCTCCCACAGTCTCCTCTCACAAGAGAGATGCTCCAGACCTGTCATCATCTTTGTGGTCCTCTGCTGGACCCCTGTTTTCACCCCTGCTGAGCTGGTATATCCACTGTGTTTTCCATCAGCACCAGAATGCTCTGTGCTTGGCTCTTAGGTACTTTTGGAAATGTTTTTTGCAATTCTAGTGAACTCTCAAATACTCATCTCCTTCCCTCTCCCTCTCCCTCTCCCTCTCCCTCTCCTCTCATTTGATAATTACACAGTTTTGCTTCTCTCATTCCATCTTTCCCAGCAAAGAAACATAATTGTTTTTGTCTCTTACTTGGAATATATATTTTTGACTCTATAATTGTTATCTTGTAAATTTGCCTTTAGGCTACTCACATAGCCCTACATTTTGATGACAAGATGGATATAATTACTGGTTTGAGACAGAAAACCTGTTATGGAAGGCCAAACTGGGACAATGAATTCAAGCAACTAGCTGAAAACCATCCTAGGTAAGGCAGGCTGGTTTCTAACCTTGTTAAGTAACTCTTCTCTCAGCATGAACAGTGGGAGGAGGGGAGAGAAAACCTTTCTAAATGACCCTTTTAAAATAATTTCTTCTCTTTTGCTGTGTGGAAAGAAGATTTATGCTTAATGAAGATTTTAATGAAGAAATCTCGGAAAGAGAATGCCAATAAAATCTAATTTTTGGACAAGAAAATCTAATATTTAGAAGTATTTCAATATCCTGGCCTTTGTCCAGATATAATTGAAACACACAATCCAATTACTGTTCTGCACAAAGGACAAAGTAGCATTAATTTCCCTTGAAGATGGTTATTAAAGAGATAAACTGTGATTTTTTTTCTTATGATGTCAAGGATATGTTTGTTCCCCTAACATATTTGGCCGCTCTTGCAAGACTATGCTGTTCTGTTATTAGTTCATCTCTGCTGGCAAAGACAGTTCATTTGAACTTGGTGGATTTGCTAGTGGTCTGAGAAAAGCTTCTTTGTTCCTGAAAGCCTTTGAAGCAAGAATGTGAAATATTTTGTGTACAGCAGTTGAAAATTCCAGAACCTTTGAGACTTTGTGATTTCCAAACATTTACCTGCTAATGCAAAATAAAGGCTTGCACTTGGGAGACAGAGATATGAAAAGAAAAAGGAGAAAACTTTTTTTAAAAGATGAAAAAGACCCAAGAAAAAGCTGAAAGGGAGGAGATCAAAGAGAGTACAGTAAGCTACAAGAATACCATAAAATTGCAAAAATAACAGTAATAGAGAATTCACTTGATGGAGGTCAAAATAAATACAATCAGGAAATATGAAAGATTAAGAGCATGAAAAGGCCAAGAATACAAAATATGACTTTTGAAAGACCTTTCATAGCGATTCTGCTACATAAACAGAGCTTTTAAAGTTATAGTTGAAACATTACTTTTTGTTAGTTACTTTTGCGACTGTAAGTACAGATAAGATAAAAATGTTTTTCTGCTGCTCTAGGGGAATATGGGCATTAGCTTTCTATACTGGATCTTGAGGTAGTTCCATAGAAATCCAGTCCTAAACTGATGGAAAATCTCCAATTTTTTTTTTATAAACCTAGATGCCCATGCTTATCCTCAATGTTAAACTTTTTAAAGAAAAACTGGCATGAAATAAGGATTCCTTATGAGAAAATAATACCCTGTTCTTTCTTGTTCTGATTTATAGAAGACTCAAGAGTCAAACAGAGGAGTTTCTCCTGTGAGAATCAGCTTTTAGGATCTGACTAAATTTTGGGTCTCTGTGTCTGGGTTGACAGAGCTCTCCCTGCAATAGTGTCTTTTAGCAGATTAGCAGGAATACACCACTTCAGGTTAAACCAGGTGCACTTGAGCTGTACAGACACAACTCCTGGGGGCCATGGCTTGGGAACCAAACCAAAATCATATCTACAGCCCCTTCTTTACAGGAGCAAACCTTTTTAAACTCATGCTATCACTTGTCACTTCCTCTGCATTTCTGCAGATTGAGCTTTCCCCAGCAGCACGGCACACGTGTGAATCTGTGTCTGCATGTATATTTTAAAGCAATATGAGTAGTGTACATGGAGGCAAACCCTTTAGGCAGTTTCTAGCAGGCAACCAGGCTATCAGCTCCCTACATGCTCATATACATATGAACACAATTGTTTGTTATATTCGTCATGTTCTTATTTTATAAGTACCTATTTACAACTGCTGTTATTAAATCAGACATTTTAAAATTGTCCGTAGGCAGAAAAGTGTTAGACTGGGGGTGGGGGGGTAGGGGGAGAGAGGAGAAGAAAACTCAGAAGTAACTGAGAATTTAGTTTATTTTTTTTTTTGGTAAAAATTAACTCAGGTGGAGAAAAAGCACTTTAAATTTTCAGCACAAGCTATATGTTTTCCTCTCTGAAAAAGCTGTGAAGATCAAAACCAAAGAGTTACCATTTAAAATATTTTGTAACCTCTCATACAGCAATCTAATAAATAATGTAATTACATAATAAACATGAAAGTATTAAAATTATTAAACTATCATATAGCAACACAAATTATACAGTACATAACACAAAGCATACAGTAACACAAGATTTTTCAAATGTATTCCTCAAAAAGAGATTTGAAAAGATGCAAAGCTGGAGGCAGCAATAAAGTACAGTGTATCCATTTCCCCTGCAACTCTCATGCTTTTTGTTGTTATTGTGATTGCAGCAACAGCATTGGTGTATTCTTCTGTGGACCCAAGGCTCTCTCTAAGATCCTGCAGAAGACATGCAACTCATATTCATCAGTTGATCCAAGAGGAGTTCAGTTTCACTATAACAAAGAAAGTTTCTAGACTGTACTTCTTAACTGTATAAGAGATATTACCAGATTGTGTATTTTTTCCCTCCACCTCATATCCTCTGCATCAGGCCAGATATTAAGAGGTATAAATTAAAATAGGTGTATTGACTTCAGTAGAAAAATGCCATCCCATGCCAGCTAAAGATCTGGACCCTTTCCTTTGCCTTTTCATTGCTTACTTAATGATGCTGTAAATATCTCTACACCTGTGTGAAAACATACACAAACCATAACCTTTGAAGAAAAAGGCACGAGTAAAATGGACATTTAGAGCTGTACTTTGATGTTTTGTATGATTGCAGGCAATACATTCCTGCTGTTTAAATCATGCCCATGAAAGCATTTCCTTCCTGGTTTTCTGATTTTACACTCCCACTGCACACACATCCACATCCACATTACCTTTTGTTCCACAGCAATACTATTTCTATACACTCTGTCAAATTCCAAAGAAGCAAATTTGTTTTGCCCTACCAAGCTCTGCACCATTTAAACCTGACGTTTCCATGGGAATGGTGTCTGTGTGTCCCATGGACTAATATGTACTTAGGTTTAATAGGCTAAGGGAACTCCAGAAATTTTTGCACTCAGCAAATGGATCTCATGAGACATGCAACTGCAACTGTGGAAAAAAGCTTCATGACAGAGTCATTGAGGTGGGAAGGCACTACTGGCTTCTACTCCAAACCTCTTGCTCAGAGCTGATTGTGTGAAGAGGAGCAACATCAGCATTCTTTCATTCCTCAGGAACCCTCCTTTAACTATTCAAAAATATAGAATAGCAAATTCCCTCAGCACTTGTGGATGCATCCCATCAGTTTCCATGGACTTGTTTAAAATATACCTAAACCTGATCTTTCTTCACTGAAGGTATGCATGATTTTTTTCAGATCTTCCCACTTGCCTGAGAAGCCAGGGATCTCCAAGTGTCAGCCTTATGTGTAAAGACTGAGGCAGAACAGAAATTGAGTACCTCTACCTTTCTCCATTGCCTTGGATGCCAAGCTTCCCACCCCATTCAGCAGCAAATCAACATTTTCCTAGCTTTCCTTTTGCTACTGATGCATGCACAGCAGCTCTTCTTGCCCATCACTTCCCTCACCAGATTTAACTCCCAATGGGCTTTGGCTTTCCTGACCCCATCCCTGCACACTCACTGTCCCTATATTCCCTGCATCATCTGTCCTTGCATCCACCTCTTGTAGCCTCCTTTTGTGCTTCAATTCTGTCAGGAGAATTTGTTCAACCATATGGATCTCCTACTACCTTTGACTGGCTTAGTCCACAGCAAGAGGGATCATATTTGAACCTAGGGCAGGTGATTCTTAAAAATCCTCCATTTCCCCTGGACCCCTCTTCTCTCTAGGACCACGCTGCATGGGAAACTTCCAGGCATTGAATTCCTCCTGTGTCCTCTCCATGCCTTGTGTATTAGCATACATGCAGTTCAGAAAGGCATCCAGTCATGTGAGTTTTCCTAAAGAGATGTTAGAGCTTTCCCCACCCTGCTTTTCTGCACATTCTAGTTTGTGTGGATACCTTGGAGTAGGCCCCCTTCTGCCCTGTTTTTTTGATGGTGACATCTCTCCTGTTCACATCATCCTGTACACTTCATTTGTTGCTACAGTCCACCACCTCCTCATTTGATTGTTGGTCATCCACTCATCACCATCACACAACATTTCCATAAGCTACAAAAGGGAGAAAAAAATAATTCCCTCTATCCCAGCACAGAGAGTAAAAACACCCCATATTTGAGTTGGACTGAGGTGTAACAGTTTTCTAGGATCACATAATGGATTTATCCAGCCACATGATAAAAATGAGAGATAGGAAACATCCTGTGTATGTCAGCATTTGAATGACAAACAGATGACAACACTATATATGTATCCTCACTCACAGACAAAAAATGCTCTCTAGAGGGGACATAACTGTATAGACAAAATAAACAGAACAATAAAAAATTATGACAGAGAAGACTCCAATGTTATTTTATACATCTTCTACTAGGGGATATGGTATGTGTGAACTGAAATTGTTCCACAATATACAGCTGTATTATTGTTAAGTTTAGGGCAGCACATCTTTGTTTTAAAATAGTTGAAGTTTTTTTTTAAATGCCTGCCTATGTGAAATGATTAATGCAGAGCATACTGTGTTAGCAGTAGAGTGAGGAGAGAATTAGAGCCTCTGCCAGTTCACCTAGAGGCATTTATCTTTTATTTTTTCCCCTGGTGCCCATGCTGAGCCTCAGGGTAAGCTGACACATTTTCTAATATAAATTAAGCTTCTTTTTTTTATGTGTGTTGAAAATCTTGAAGGAAATGAGAAATGTGTGTAGGCACCAATACCAGCTGCCATTGCATGAAAGAAAGAGGTGACAATTTCCTGCAGATTCTGAATGATTGTCTTAATGGGGTTGGATCGGAGGTAACAAGCACAAAGATATTGTGCTGCCAGAAAAACAGGATCTGTTCTCCCCCCAGCCTCATGCAACAAGATGTAACATTTAGCTTCTGGCTCAACATGGCATCTCTTCACTGCTTTGATTTATTCCCACTTTTGCAAATCACTGTGGTATGCTACAGGAGATGCATTTAGAGCCCTTGTTATAGTTCATTGAGTAGCACTGCTGTTATCACCACCAGAGGAGAATTTCTCTTGCATCAAGACTGAGTGACCTAGAATAAAGGAAAAATAATAATAATAAAAAAAAAAAAAGTGGGGAGGTTTGTTGGACGAGGATGAAACTGCATTTAGGCTGAATGAAAATCCCTTTATTACAAACACAATTTGAATCAAAAAGGGAACTAGGAAAATTTGGCTTCCTGCCTTGTTTGGAATAACACTGAGCACACAGCAGCTATGATAATGTGAGTGCATATGTAACGACTCTATTATTATGTTTATATATGGAAACATCATTCACTGTCAGGGAAATTGAAAGATATCTTCATGGATTTGTCCATTCAGCTGCTTCAGCAGGAAGTGTTCAGCACTGTGTAGGAAAATATTATTAAATAAAATATAGTCATAACAGCACAGACTCACCACATCCTGTGACAGAAAACTAATCATAGACAAGGATCATAAATATACAGATTAATTACTTTGGCTCTTACAATAAAAAGAGTGCTATTATAGTGATTGAAGTTTTGTTATGATAATTTAAGTTTATTCACTAGGAATTGTAAATTGAAATACATGGGCTTATATGTTCTGGTTTTCCCCACTCTCCCCCTTCTCCTAAGTTGTACGTAGTAGAAATTATTTTAGTAAATTTGTTTCCTTAGTTTACACTAAAATATTGAAGAGAAACTGCCACTCTTAACAGAAAATCCATCATAGGCTATCTGCCCCATATCAACATTATTAGAAGGACTCTTCTGCTTCATTCCTGCTTTTAGGTATTATAGAATGCCTCAGCAGAAATACTGTTAACTGCAAAAAAGTGACAAACTTTTCAAAGGTTTTAGTACTCCTGATTAGCAGGAGATTTCATGAGAACTGCCTTAAAGGCAGCTTAGTTGCCTTCAGAAAAGTAATAAACTAAATGATATGGTAGATTTATAACCTCAACTGGTCAACAATTTCAGTGATTTTTTTTTCCTGATGGAAAATTACCTGAATTTCTTTAGGAACAGAGAAAATAAAAAGAAAAAAGTGGCAATGCTTCCACCCAGCTATAAACACAAAAAACTTAAATGAAACATGCATAGTCAACCAAGCAGTGAGGAATGCAGACCTGTGAGGGTCAAAGCAGCATAGCAGGTGATGGGCTGGAAAGTGCAATATTTCATTGCATCTTCTGACACTTCTCAGGCATTCATGCACCAGGCGTGAAGCCACCTTGGTGACCCCTTTCAAGGCCAGGCGTGAAGCCACCTTGGTGACCCCTTTCAAGGTGGAGGACACCCTATTAAGGACTGGCTGGCCTAACCTAGTTAGCACCTAGTGCTGGAACCTGGCTGAGTTGAGGCTTTCCCACCTCAGTCATATCCTCTATTCTGCAGCAGTAACTCTGACTCCTCCTGTGTGATCGCTTAACTGTCTGAGAAATTCTGCATGTCTGCAGAATAAAACTGTGTGTCCATTTCATTAAAGCTGCAGCCACATTTTCCAGGAATGTCTACTTACGTGTTGCTGAATATGTTCAAATGAGAGTGGGCTGATGGTTTGTATTTTAAAACTATCCTTTCAGAATACACAGAAGGAAACAAAAGTTATATAGTATAACGAACCACTCAAACCAGCACATTTTTTCAAAGGCTATCTGCTTCAAATATTTGCATCCATTATTTCTAAACAATAATGACTTCTAACATGGTAAGACATTTGTATTCATTGAGGATAAAAGCCCTGAGCCTGCCAATACTTACACATGTGCTTTAGTAACTTCAAACAATCTTTTTACTGTCCTAGAGGACTAAATATGGTTTCCTTTGAAGCTCGTGCACAGAGGACTGATGTCAGGCTCAAGGCTGGGTCCTGAAGGCTGATCTCTATTATTCAGCTATTACACTACCAGACTGTCTTGATACTTGTCTAGAGACCATTCCTCTGGTACAGTAATTCTGAATATGAAAGATAACTTCCAATCACGCTTGCCTTAAGGTACACAGATAAGATTGCACTTATACACTCTAATAAAAGGCCTAGTTTTTGATGCTCTTACAGCTTTTATTAAGAAAAAAAAAAAAAAAAGAAAAAAAAAGTGGTCTTGGTGAGAGCTTTTATCTTCTTTTACTTTGGCCTAATGTTATGAATATGCAGATCTGAACATTTTATTCTGTGGATTTATGCAAATAAGGAGGAGAGGGAACAGATAAGGGCCTGAGCTCTGAGACAGAATTCCTGATCTCCAGCATACTGCTGACCATTCCCCACTATCACTGCCTTAGATGCTGAACCTCCTGTGCCCTTGCTTGAGACAGGTTCTTTGCACAAAAACAACATTTTTCCTCCTGTTGCTTTCCAAGCCTACAAAAACCTTCGCAGAAACCATTACTGTCAAAACAGTGAACTAAATGGGATCTTTGTGAGCAAAGATACAGATGTGTGCCCAAACCCAAGTTAACACACAGTAGTTGCAGCATGGATGCACACAGGAAATTTGCAGATACCTATCTGCTTTAGATATCACACACACAATTCCCTCTTACTGTAACAAGCACAATGTATTTGTTCTCATGTTTTTAGGAATTCATCAAGGTTAAAAAAATGAAAGACAAACTTAAATTCCAAAGGTCTCAGACACATAACCAACCTGCAACATATCACACTCATTAATCATACAATTACATTACATTTAGATAAAAATGTTTAAATTGAAGAATGCCCACTATTTGCTCATTAATATTGGTAAAATAGCCATGTAATTTTCTGAGTTTGTGTGCTGCAAAGAAAATTCAGAGGGCTATGCAGAATGCATACCAATGCAGAGTTACCCATTTAAGATCACTCTTTTTTAGATTCCTTACCACACTGGCAAGAGGAAGATAGTTAAGAGGCACAGTTGGACAACTTTGAATTTAGTATCAAAGGTTTGAGGATGAAACAAACAAATGTATGCTGTGATACTGGTCAACACTGAAGTCACTTCAAATACAAATCATGGGGAGAACAGATAGATTTGACTGAACTGGACTTTGTGTAATACAAACATGCCCAAGTCCAATTTCTCTGACAGGAATGTACATCAACTATTTTATTATGTATTTGGCATTACAAAGATGTATCTATAGTAAGAAACATCAAGCATAATAACAAATTCTGGCTACCTTACATCTATCTGAGCAAGTCCATCATCCTTCAATAACACTGTGCTTTCATAAAGGAGCCTGAAAATGCTTTAAACATGGTCTACTGCTGAGAAGTGCTGAACTGAAAGAGCTTTCAGCAAAACTAAAAGAAACTGTATCTGCACAGCATTCTACAGAATCAAAACTTTGGAGTCCAGACAACAAAATTAACCAGAGTTTTTGTCAAAATTAGGACGGTAAAATTTGGATTTTAGTCAACACAAGTGCTGAATGATATACTGCAAGTACTGAACACTGAACTTCAAAGAAAAGGAAAATTAATTCTAAACTGACTTGTTTATAATGAAATAGCCATTGCTTTGCTACATGCTGATTGTCCTATTGCTACACATATAGATGGCCATGAAAAAAGTCTAAGTTCAAAATGCTTTATGTTTTCTCATAATGTCATTGTCAGGTGGAATTTCTTTTACTTACAGTTTTAGATGAGGAACTGAGTCACAGAAATGCTAAGTGGTTGCCTCAAGCTCTCAAAAGAATGTCAGTACAAGGATTAAACCGGCTTTCAGGACAAAGCTTGAAGTGTTACAGCAATCTCCCTCTCCTATAGACTGTATTACATATATTTGACATGACCCTTAAAAATATCTGTGAGTTTTCTGAATGAATACAAAAGTGATTTGAATTATTTTCAGTTCTATTGTTATTGAGCTGCATGGTTTGAAAGGCAAGTGTTTTGATTCTCAGGACCAGTATGATTCATACTTGCTTACTCCTATTTATGATATAAGGCATGCACATGTAAACTAGATCCTCTGGCAGACAATGAATGAATTCTGTGTTAAAATAGGAGATTTAAAACAAATAAAAAATAAAATTTATCAGAAAAGAAACAAGGTTTGGGGTTATTACTAAGAAATATTATTAAATATCTAAATATAGATTTTGATGCTGGACTGAAGCCTGATCCTACTGTGAACAAAGAACACAGGAAAATGCTTGTTGCCTCCTATAACAGGATCCAACTGAATACTAGACAGCACAGCATTGCACTGTAAGGAAAGCCAAGATTTCATTTCCAGGTAGGGCAGATCAGAAAATTTTCAAGTATTAAAGCTCCTCTTTAAACAATTATTGTAAAGCATATACAATAAAAATAATAAAGCTAGGTAAATAAGCAACGTCCTGCTTCAGCTTCCTGGGATGCACCCAGGATGTCTTTATGATCATTTGAAACAACACCACATTTGTTTCCTCTCTGATTTCTGTCACCTTGCCTGTACTTTGAGAATTTTCTAAGACTGAAA